TCTATTATATGAGTTCATTACGTTGTATGGAGTTATCTTGATTTTATAACAAGCTTATTGATGTAATTCAATGACGTTTCTTCATATTTAATTCTCTAGCTGCCATAAATTCTGAAATCTGTTGCCAAATAGTTTCTCAGTATTTAATATAATTTAGCATTTGTTCTACCAAACAGTTTTCAAGATTTAACAGCCTAAAAATTTACTAAATTTGGATTTACAAGATTTACTAAATCCCACTAAAGATAAATCCAAGCCAATACTAAACAACCCCTTAGAAAACTAAAACCCCCTTCAAAATTTAGAGGTATGTAGAACATCTAAATTTTAAGAATCAATAAGAAAGGGGTCTCAAATGAAGCATGAGTTATCACTGACACTAAACCCCCAAGTTGATATTTTAAGATAGAAATCTGGAATTAGAGCAGAGAGCTGCGTTATGGTGTTGCAATGGAATTTGGAAAGAAACTCCAACCAGGATGAGCTTGAGCTCCTACAAGACTTATATATAGTCAGGAGCCATATCAAATTTTTATGTGGAATAAGAACATACAGAGAAATGAAAGAGAAATGGATGGCCTGCTTTCAAGGGATGAAAAACCACTGATAATCTGATTGCAAAAAGGGCTTCTTTACCATTCCTAGTATTGTTTTTATAATGCTAACATTGAATCTCACACTCATTTGTTGTTCTCTTGTCCTGCCCGCTTTCTCTAATGCTATTACAAGCGTCCCTATTCCAATTCAAATAATTTTATAATGAATATGCAATTTTTTAAATGATAGATTATGTCTCCTCACTATCATGTTTGATCACAAAAGAAAAAAAAAATTGTACGTACTAAATGTCAGTTTTTGTATTTACAACTAGGGGTGTAACCAAGTCAAGTCGCCTCGCGAGCCAATTTAGCTGTACTCATTAACAGGCTCGACGAGTCAAACTTATCTAGTTCACGAGCTGAGCTCGAACTCAACGGCTTATTTAGATCGAGCTCGAACATACGTCCACTCAAATTGCAAGCTTGTGGAGGACCTAATGGAGTGAGGGATGGAATAGCAGAGGTGGTTGCGGGAGAGATCCAGGTAGCTTAGCATGCCGAGCGCCAATGAAGTTGTTCATGAAGAGCTCCAGAGTTTCAAAAAAAATCCCATCTATCACATATCATTAAAGTTGAGCTCATTATTTGATCAAAATGGAAAATACTTGTAAATCTACATCCATATGCTTTGATAGAAATGCGTTTCTAGTTCCATGATTTGAGACTCAATTGCTCGTTTCTTTTATTTGAATAGTAAGAATTCACACATATTTAGCACTCTTCCTGATCCATTCTTCAGACACAGCAAAACTTGTGTTTTATTCTATTGTGCCTGATGGCTCCTCCTTATTGCTCCCCCTGTATCCTTTTTTCATCACTTGAGATCTCTCTAATTTCTAATGGATTGGTTGGTTTGGCTATGTTCGTTGGATTAGGTATGGTTTGCTTTATTCTGACTATATAAGATGACATTTAAGATTCTTTTGGAGTTCCAAGCTATGTCTGAGTCCTTCAACACCTCTTTTTTTTCTACAGTTTCTTTAGTAGTTCCTTGGGTGCATTGATTTACATTAGGTTGCATAGTTTTTCACTTGGTTCCTTCATTCCGAGCTTCTGTTTTCTTTTCTTTTTTGGTTTCTTTTTTGTTGGTTTCTTTTAAATCTCATAACTTAGTGATGTAGGAACATCTTAGTTACAGCACACCTAAGAAATCATTTATCATTTGTTAGCTTAGGTGTAGGCTTTCTAGAATCTTCTATTATGATTATACATACAAGCTATTGTAAGAGAGGAGGATCATTGATGAAATATTATTATCCTTGAAGCTTTTAAGCTTGTTGAGTGTCTTTGTTCCCTGAATTGGAAAATCCCTTCAAGCAGATTCGAATCTTCCGACGATCACCACATCAGTTAGTCTAGTAATTTTGTCTATTCCATCATGATTATATTTCAACCTCTCTCTCTCCCTCTCTTTCAAAATATAACACCCGCCTAATCATTTTTTCAAATTTAAAATGGATAAATTATTCTATGCGGAGTCAGGACGGGAAGAACCATCCGGACTGTGAGTGTGTGTACAAAATATTGATACACACAACACAGTGTGTACACACTCATATGTCCAGACCGTTCTTCCCATTTGAACTCGGACGGAATAATTTCTCCTACAAATGAGGCAAATCAACTATTATTCATGCCTAGGTGCCTCCGCATATAATTTTGGGATCACAGCAGCTGTTCATTATTGATTATTATCAGACTTAAAACATCAAAGTGGCAGCATTAACTTGCCATCTTTTTGTTGTTCTTTTCTTGGTTTATGAATAAATATGGCAACGATAATGGCAGAAAAGGACGCTCATGTGGCAAATGATACTACCATGTGTGCACACGTGAGGGTGGTCCTTCAGGCACAAAACAAAATATCAGACAACCATAAGATGCGAAGTTTTGAGTAGTATCCTCCAATTCTGGTAGTGCAAAAGGCTAATATTGGAATTGGACAAGCAGTAAGAATTCGATTACTAATAACTACAACATAAAATTGATAAGTAAAAGTGCATTTTTTTTTTTCATAAATATCCTTACAATCAAAATTTGTTCCGAGGGTGTTGCCTCTCAACCCTTATTTCTTCATCGTTGCACGCTTCGCAGATATGTCGGGGGTCTAGGGGGCAGCGCCTGCTGCGGGATTTGACCATAGTATTTCTCTTTGCTATTTATCTTTGTATTTGGTTCATCATCATCATTCCCTAACAATAACTTCTCTACACCATGTGCTTAATTATATATGTTGGCACAATTGCCTAAAGATCATAACATTTTAAAACTTATAGGGGGGCAATTGCCTAAAAATTTTTATAATAAAGACTAAAAAATAGATGTAGGAGAACAAATTACCTAAAAATTTTTTTCTTTTAATTTTTTAAGCGGGTGCAATTGTCTCCCCTGCCCTAAAGGTGAATCCGCCCGGCACCCATGGCAGCATAGTCTGATACCTTGATCCTAGTTATTGATGATTATTAACCTGTTGGCATACTGTGCATGCTGCCAACTTTACTAGTGATTAGGCTCATAAAACTAATTAGTTTGTCGAAATAAAGTATTAGAGAGAACATTAAAAAACATAGTAGTATATTTCTCATTTTAGTAGAATAGTAGAAAATAAAATATAATGGTTGTTCTGAGAAGAATCATAAACAGCAAAAATCCTTCAATGGAATACATTGTTGGTCATACGACGATGGCTTGATGATGATCGATGATAGTCATCCGACAGCAGTCAGAAGACGATGATCGGGTAACAAAGTTTGGCGGCGATGTTTAGATAGTGAAGATCTGACGGCAATTGGGCTATTACAATTTAACGATGTGCTTAGTTATTTATATATACTAATCATATTTTTCTGAGTTTTTTTTTAAGGAGCAGGGATAATATACATTTTTAGCCCTAGTAGCATGTGAGTTTTAAAATTTAAAACGGAGCAGATAAACCAAACAAATTAACACATTCTTCATTCACCCCGTATGTCTTCTAGTTAGCCGAATTGAATTTTGCAGAACTATAGCAATGTGTTATACTAAAAGGCACATTCTTATTCTAAATACGCCAAACAGTTAGTGTATTCAATGGAATACACCATCATGTTTGACTAGTTTGTTCTTTTTAATTTTTTTTAATATTATGCTCTCACACCTAATTTAAATTAAATACTTACTATTTCTTAAAAAAAAAATCTTTTCTCATTGAACAAAATTTTTTTTTTAATTTAATTTTTGCAACTTTTTTTATATAATACATGACAGTATCAGACTCATCTTATTCGTAATTTTATTAAAGAGTGAATTTTTATCTCATAAATTATATATATATATATATATATATATATATATAACGAAACAGAGAAAATACTCTATAGGTAGAAGAAATTATTCTGTGCGGTCATCCAACACGTTCGGAGGCGAATTATCGGAACGGAAAATTATTGGGTCCAGTCACTGGACATAGCTTATCGTTCGATATTTCACAGTATTGAGCTCGGTACTGTGAAATATGCGGCTCGGTACTTCATAGTACCAAGTATACTGAGCTCAACACGATACTGCTCAGTACCTATTTCAATATGAAATAGAAGATGATGTGGTGCATTTTTATTGGCTCCTGTGATCGGACCCAATAATTTCCCATCGGAACGGTCCGATGACGTACCGCACAAAATAATTTCTCCATGGAGAACCATGTCCATACGGACCATACCCGTATCTCTCTTTCGCGAACTTTTATTTGGTCCGGTGAACGTACATAGAGCTACGTTCAGCCGGCACTAAGATCGCAGGCACAAAACGAGAAATATCTAGCAAATACCGAGCAATACCAACAATGACGAGAAATATCATTATGTGAAGATAAAATACCGAATAATACCGAGTAATCCCAAAAAATAAAAAAACTCGGTATTTTTTGGGATTACTCGGTATTGCTTGATATTGCTCGGTATTGGTCTTCACGAACTTTTATTACGTCATCAGACCAGACGCAGCTCTACGTTCGGTCAGAGGATTGTTACTCGGTTTTTGCTAGGTATTTGGTCGGTATTGCTAGGTATTGTTTGGTAATAACGAGGAATACCGCTCTGTGAAGACTAATACCGAGTAATACCGAGAAATATCGAGTAATCCCAAAAAATTCCGAGTTTTTTCCTCGGTATTGCTCGGTATTACTCGATATTTGATCTTCACATAATGATATTTCTCATTATTGTTGGTATTGCTCGATATTTCTTGTTTTGTGCCTGCGATCTTAGTGCCAGCCGAACGTAGCTCTACGTATGTTCACTGGACCAAATAAAAATTTGATCTTCGCAGAGCAATATTCCTCGTTATTACCAAACAATATCTAATAATACCGAGCAAAAACCTAGTAAGAATCCTCTGATCGAACATAGCATCTACGTCCCAGGACTTAATAAAAGTTCCTCTTTCGCTGTCGGTTTCTCTCTTTTGCTTGCGGTTCTTCATCTGCGACGGTTTCTCTCTTTCGCTGGCGGTTTCTTCATCTGCGAGGATCGATAGCATAGTTCCCTAATTTTAGGGGAGTATATTATTTATCGTTTAACACTGCTCCAGTCCCCTGATTAGCAAATGATGGCTGCGCCAACCAATCCCAGCCACCTTCTCTGTGCTCTGATCAACCAGCTCCGCCAACACAAGCCCGAATCCAGCCAAATAACTGACGAAGCGGCCACCGATGGTGAAGCTGCGGTTTCGGTATCGGAGGGTAGCGGCCGCGACTTTGATGATCGAGGCAAAGTTTTCTCCTCAATAGGTTTCTCCGAGTCCGCCTCGCCTTCGAGGGTCCTCTCTCCAGAACGCTTCAATCCGAAGAGGGCCGCTGTTCTTATCTGCCTATTTGAGGGCGAGAACGGAGAACTCAGGGTTATTCTCACCAAGCGCGCCTCCAATCTCTCCACGCACTCCGGTTCCTTTCTCTCTTTCCGATCACCTCGTCATGTTTCGAGAGGAAAGATGTTTTTGTGCTTCCTAATTGATTTATTACTCTGGTGGGGTTTTTGTTGTTGGATGGTGCAGGAGAGGTGGCTTTGCCGGGCGGGAAGGCGGAGGCGGGGGATGCTGACGACCGTGAAACTGCTACCAGAGAGGCTAAGGAGGAGATCGGTCTCGATCCTTCTCTAGTCACGATCGTGGCGATTCTGGAACCCTTCCTCTCCCTGGTGCGTTTACTATGCGATCGCATCCCGTTATTGTTTACCCCAAAATTGCAGTTACGGCTGCTCATTTTTATGAAGCATGGATTTTAGTGTTAGACATTGAAAATTTGCAGTTTGAGTGTTTGACTTGGTTGTTGCTTGATGGAGAACTTTGGTGTTGGATTTCGTTAGTTCCGATTCATCCGCTTTTTAGAAATTGGAAGTAAAATAAGCTAGTACTCAAATTTTTTCCCCATTATTATAGTTGCAGTATTTCATAACACTTGCTCATTGTCTATAAATGGAAGAGTAAAACTGTAAGATCGTCATGGTAAATCAGTGCTATTTACCAGCTGGATTGATGGCAGCTAAAAGAGATACGCTAGTAATTTGGATGCATTTTGGCTGCTATTTATTAATATTCAGATTAGGATCTTGCACTCTATCAGAGTAGCCTAAACAAACTTAAAATTATCTGCACTTAGATCCCAAGAACCATAGCTTTGGTATCACATTGCAATCTATGAATCATCTTTGGAGACCAATTGTGCCACTTGTTGAACATATTCCACTATTATTATTTGAAAACTTATCTCTCTTCCCATTCAGGAGCCTAGGTAGGATATCTGGGACTGGGACTCCATTCGCTACCTCTATGTTGTCGTGTAAAGAGCCCTGCTTTTGGTCCAAAGCAGGCTTCTTTTAATCGGATTCTTATTTCCTATTCACCTTTGGAGCGTACTATTGGGGGTGATTAATAGTGCTCTTAGACTCTTAGTCATATGTTGTTACGTGACTTCTGAATGGTCAATGAATTGTTCACTTTATGATGCGAAAATCTGTTTTGTAATAGATTGTGATGCGGAGCATTTTATTACAGTATTTCGTAGTTTATCTAAATTTGTTACTAGTTTCTAGAATGTTCTTAAAAATGTTCCTTAGGACTAACTTATTACAAGTTTCAAGAATATTTTTATTAGCCTATAAATAGGCAAAGTATTGTAGTAAAAAACATATTGATGAATATTATCTCTTATTGAAGCTTTTAAGCTTCATGTTAATCCCTAGATTGAAAATTCCTTCAAGCAGGTCCGATTCTTCCGACGATCACCACATCATATTGGAATACAGAAAATCTGCATTTATTAATTGGAACTGCAATTCTATACTATCCTGTTTTAACTTCTTAGGGAAGAAGGATATATTTTAGATAAATATATATTAGGTGAATTACACCACTTCAATAATATATATATAAAACCAAAACCTAGAATTGGGTTCCTAACATTTTTTCATGTCACTTAGGTTCTCCAAGATAGTTCTAAATGTTCAAAGTGGCTTATACTGCTAGGTTCTCCAAGATAGTTCCAAATGTTTAAAGTGGCTTATACTGCTCATTGTTAGTTAAAAATAGCCATTAAGTAGAATCAAATGACCATATGTGTGTCTCCGAGTTGGATGTTCGATATTTCTGCTCTTGAAAATGCATTCCTGGTTCTTCTGATACCTATTCATTTCAGCCAGGTCCCAAATTTGGTTGTCAATGTTGCGAGAAGACCATATCAATGCCTCAACTTCTCATCTCCTTCACTGTTGATGTTCAATGCTAGATTTCACAAATGCTCCAGCTGATGTCCTCACACTGTATTCCTGCTGTTTGATTATGTCCGCCCCTTGTACTAGTAGCTCGTTAATTAATGCCAAGAGAGCAACTCGAGGCCCCTTGCTTTGCTTTCTTGCTTGTGGATCTATGGGAGAGATTTTTTCTTGTATACATAATATATACACGGTCTCCTTATTTCCTTTTTTTTGGCAATCCCACTGATTCTTCTTTGTTCGTTGACCTTTCAATATACTCTCTCAAACTATATGTATAGATCTATCATTCTAAATTTGTTTATAATATTTTTAAATACAGGGTTGCAAATCCCTTCGTTAAATATGTCAGTATTTTAATGATTTACTCTTAAAAAATCAAATGCTTGGTTTAATCTAGCACTTCAATAACTTATGCACATGTTATCTAAAGGTCACGGCAGTTTAAACATGAACTATGTTAAGTGAAAACTAAGCTGAAACAAAAAGCAAATTTAGGTTTCGTTTGGGACGGTTTTTTTGCTGCTTTTTAAAACAGCTTTGTAGTACAAAACTAAAAATTTTATATTAAAAATCTGCTTTAAGAAGCAATAAAAAAACCGTCCCAAATGAAGACTTAGTTTTATGTTGGACTTGGTGTTTGGATTATGACAATACATAGATCATTCCACTGCTCGGCTCATTCTCTCTCTAATTATTGTTAGTCAACCTATTCACAAGCATACTATTACCAATATTTTTAATAAAATGGCCTAACTATCGGGAAAGTGCAAATGTCTGTTTTTTTTTTTACATTTAGGCTTCATTTGGGATGGCTTTCTTACTGCTTCTTAAAGCAGCTTTCTAATACAAAAAATTTAATTTTTATACTAAAATTCTGATTTAAGCAGCAGTAAAAAACCCGCCCCAAACGAAGCCTTGGATCAATTAAAGCAAACTCATTCACAAATCACAAACTCAAGACTCGTATTCAAGATCTCTTAGTTGGTTGTTAAAATTCTCAACCAACAGATCAAAGAGAATTGCGTCACAAATGACTTTGTGACTTCTAATAATTACATTAAAGGTTAAGCTTAAAAGTTCATTTTAAATTTGTTTTGCAGCACCTTCTCCGAGTCGTCCCTGTCATTGGTGTACTATCTGATAAAAAAGCATTCGCACCTATTCTTAACACTGCTGAAGTGGAGGCTATATTTGACGCACCATTGGAAATGTTCCTCAAGGTTTTATTCCTATATTGTCGACCTTCTTCGACTAGTTGTTTATCAAAAGGCATATAAGGTGGAGAAGAATGAATAATATGCTAAGGCTTGGTTTGAGATGGTTTTCTTGTTGCTTTTTAATGCAGTTTTTTAGTATAACTTTTTTAAGAAGTAACAAAAAAACCGTCCCAAACGAAGCCTGAAACTGCAAATATTTTTTCTATGATTTTCGCTCTCTCCAAATAATTGTGTCACATCCAAATTTATGCAGGATGAAAATCATAGGTCTGAGGAGCGAGAATGGATGGGGGAGAAATATCTCTTACACTATTTTGATCATGAAATCAATAAGAAGAAGTTTCTTATATGGGGTTTAACTGCAAGTATCCTGATTCATGCTGCTTCAGTTGTATTCCAGCAGCGACCATCCTTCCCTGAAATGAAGCCAATCTACAAATACCCTACCAATTTTAAGGTGGGATTTACTAAGACATAGCTTTTATTTGGGATAGCTTTCTTACTATTTTCTAAATTAATTTTTTAGATCAAAATTTTATTGAACTAGAAATTTTTGAATTAAAAAAGCCTCTTAGAAAGCTGTCCCAAACGAAATCATAATTTTGTGTTGTTTTTGATCTCATTGAAAAAAGAGTATGTCGAAGACTCTAATCCATATTTTTTAGCTGCAGGTTCCAACTTAAAATGTAATATTATAATTTAAAAGGAGTTTCAAGTGTTCTTGAATTAAATGTAAGTTATTGTTATAGATATCTTTGAATGTATTGAAAGATATTGATTCATGAAAGTAAAACCTATGGTTAGATTTGTAATATGGCTTCTATGTGTTGTCAGATCTTTTTTTAATTTTTAATATGCTTGATAAATAAGTTAATTTAAATAAAAAATGAATGAGATATATTCTGCAGAGTTCATAAATTGGAAGTTTAAGCAATAGAAGTGAAGGAAAAATTAGGGAAAAAATAAATCATGTTTATCTTTGGTTGAGAGAAGTTCTCTCATGAACATTCTCCTCACTTTGACTTGCTTTGGTATCGTTCTTTTATTCTTTTTGAAGTTGTTTTCGAGATTAAAAAATTTTTAATTTGGAAGTTTTTTATGCTTAAAAGTTGTTTTAACAAGCAAGAAAATTATTCCAAATAAAATCTTAGAAAGACAGAGAGATTGCAAGATATTTTTTGTTAATATATAAAGCTTATCTTATTTGCACATGTTAGATCATTTGAAGTTATTTATTATGTAAAAATAGCTAAAAATTTTTCAGTGGCATGAATTTTTTTTATTTGGGACAATTAGGCCAATTAAGATAAATTAACACATATCACATTCATAAAACTCGAACTTAAGACCTCTTATTTGATATTCAAAACTCCCAACTAACAAATCAAGATGAGCTGTGTCGCTTGAAATTTTAGTTATTCAAAATTTATAACAGAAGATTAAAAAATGTGAAAGAAAAAAGGCTTTATTATTTTAGAAGAATAATTCTCTCTCTCTCTAGGTATATGTTTGGTGACTTTGAGTGAGCTATTTATTTCAAATTTATAAAAATTTAAATAATTATTTAGCAAATTTCGAATTTTGAATATAATATCTGCATTTTTTTTAGAGTGATGAACACACAAAATTGAAATTATGAGTTAATTATTAATACATTTAATAACAAAATACAAAACCTGCTAACCACACATTAATATTACCAGTCCGGTTCTGATATTGTTTGTCCGGCCCGGCCCACCAATGCTCACCGGGAGTTTCCCGCTCGCTGGCGAATGGTGCAGTGGAGCGTCGAGCCTATAAATTAGTGAGCGGAGCGGCGACCCGGAAAGCAGTCGAGGCCAGCAGGCATCAATCGGTCGCTGTTCAAAATCTGCGATCGGCGAACCGCTTATAGATCGCAAGTGAGCAAATCCTAACAATCTTTCTCTCTTTCCATCTCCCACGCTCCCTCGCTTGCTTCCACTTTGATAGTTCTCACGCTCCGATACGAGCATTTTCTATTGCTGGTTAGCTTCCTCTTTTTGTTTTTTCTTAGCTCGTCATTCTGGATGTTTTCTGAGAATGTTGGTGGAGATGTTTGTTCTATTCTGTTTCTCGCAATTGATTCTCTGAATCTTGAAACTATGGAATTTCATGGAGGTTTGTATTTCCATGAATTGTGAAACATCTTTCCTTAGAGAAATCTAGCCTGAAGCTACTTAATGAAGGATTTCCAGTTGGATCGATGAATTATAACATCCTAGCTGGTCTTTTTATATGCCCGTATGAATAATAGGCGGTCTAATTCCATTTAATTTTTCATTACCAAATCAAAGAGAATTATGGTTATTGAACGATTTTAGAATCTTGACATGAAACTTTTTAAGACATGGTGATTGCTAGGTTATTTCCAAAGAGGTAAATTCTTGTGTTTCATGGTCTGTTAATATCGAACTAATGATTACCATTCGGGGCTCAGACGAGGAACGTGTCCAAAGGTCTCCCTCGAATATTTCTACATTTGTTGTGGGAGAAGTACGCGATTTGACTGTTATGAAATTTTGATCAACAAATTTTCTTGATTGGGTAACTGCAATGAGTTTCATATTGTCATGGCTCTAAATAAGCATTTGCTTAGATAATGGAGTAAAATGGAGTGAAATCAAAATCATCGAGTGCTTAAATAGAGATCCTTGGTGTTAAATTTAAATCTAACAGCGATGGTGTCCTTAAGCGTGCTTATGCAAACAAGGCGGGAATTGCCTTAAATCTATGAAGTGGGTGGATGCTTCTCCAGATATGAATTCAGAAAAAAATAAGGAAAGTTGGACTTTTTTCTTTGATGATTCTGTTATGTTTGAACTACTATATACATCTTGATGTTTCAGTTGCCCATTATATCCCCTTTAGAATGTAATTAATATTCATTTTATCCAGTACATCTTAATTTTTTAGTTGTTTCCAAATTGTTGACATCAATTTACTGTTTGATGATCTTTTTTTTGGTGTTTTACACCCGAAATTGGCACGCGACGTTACCCAAACGACTTCCAATCGTAAAACGGACTTCGTTGTTGCGTTCGAAGCATCATCAATACACAAAATTGACAATCAAATTGTCCAATTAATATCACATGGTGAACTCGATGCATATTTCGAGGCAAAATGCATATATTCGCATGCAAATCAAGAAAAATGTGAGCAATGGATCCATTATGTCATTTTAGAATTCAATAACAATAATAGCTTATTATTGTTAATTTAATTAATTAAAAAATAAAAAATAAAAATCATTCGAATTTTACCTTGGCCCTGTCTAGCTGAATTCGCGTCTCTTCCCGTCAATCCCACATCTTACGTCTAGATCACAGCTGCCCTCAACCCTCTGCCTCGCTGTTAAAATGAAACCAAATGGCTTCCCGTTCTTTTTCTTCTGCTCACGCGAGCCTCTTATTTTTTTGCTACCTTACGTACACATGCCAAATTCTAGAACCCACACCTCTGCTCTTCCACTTCACGCAAGATGCTCCATTCCCATTCAATTCACGTGCATCCCCGCCAAACCCCGCAAATCCTCCATATGTTGAGCATCACCACTGATCAATATAGGCCCATGTTTGCCAAAAGCCTTCATATTTTTCGACCCTGTTCCCGATTTCAACTTCCTTCCTGCTCTCACACACCCGATCAGGCTCAAATTGAGACCCTGAAGCTCTCCTTTCCTCTACCTCGTCGAAAACTAATGAAAAAGAACCATAGGATCTTGATCAGGTCTATCATCCATTCCCTGGCCATCCACTTTAGGTTAAAGATGGTAAAATTTTCAATTTTAAATATTAAATCTCAAAAACTAAACCCATGCTTCTACTATACACCAGATATTATGTATCTCTACGTATCTGTTTGACGACTTGCCTTAATCGAAGATTTATTTTTTCGTTAACGAGAGGGGTAATTAACTATAGGGGCTTGTGCTTATAGGAAACTTGAACTTAGATCTAAAGTCCTCACAAAATGAGGGAAAAATCTTTAGGTAATGTCTTATTTCAAACTCAATCTGCCTTCTAAAAATTTGCCTCGGAACTAACTTGTGAAAACTCTCCTTGACAACCCGAAAACAAACGAAAAAGAAAGAAAAGGGGTCCGCAGAGAAGCCGGGGCGCAAATTTTCAGAGCCCACAGTGCTTTAGCTCCCGAAAACTCCTCCCTGCACTTTTCGTGTCCTCCTGCCCTCGCAACTTCCGCCTGTGTACCCTTACGTCTCTAGCATGTTCGTGTAACCAATGACCAGATCCACCGTGCCTTGCTCACGTGTGGAATCACGCTCAATCCGCTTGAGCACGTTTTCCCACGCGTAACACGCGCAGTCCAACCACGATTTTGTGGCGGCACTAGGCCACTCGGCCTCACCTGTACGTGTCCGCCCGCGTCACCGACATGCGGTACCTGCCTGTACGTGATCTGTCTTCGATCGGATCTGCACGCCCTTCGGCCCCTGTTCCAATCAAGCTCCGACAGTTGATCCACATTCGGCCTAACTAACGCGTTCGCGTCTCCGCCTTGCTCCCAACACCGATGGGTCTTTGCAAGAGACCTCCCTACTGCCTCCTCTCTTCCAAGTCGTTTTCTTTGGACAATAAAACTTTCTCCGCCTCCACTTAGCTCTGATACCAATTGTCGGATCTTCTTTGAGGAAGAAACTCTTTCTCTTGAGCTTCTTAGGAGAGGGGAGAGAGAGAGGGGGGGGGAGAGAGAGAGAGCTGAAAACATAACTTAATTCTTTATTGATTGGCTTAGCTTATCATATAACAACCATCTCTTATTTATAAACTTCTAAAGGCAACACAGTAGTTACACAAGAAAATTAAAGAAACTACAAATAACTCTAATTAAAATTTGGATCAATTCATAACAATATTATTCATAGAGCTACAATGTATGGCTATGAATATTATGTGATGATTCATGCTCCTGCTACAAACTTAATAATTACATGCTTGCAAATCATAAGATATATGAGCAATTGTATCATGAATATAGAAAAATAAGCAATTTATTTTTTAGTTGGTAAGTGTCAATTTATTTCTTTTCCCAAAGAGGTGTGAAATCTTCCGGCCAATTGAAATTATTCTTTGTATCTGAGAATGACATTTTTGTATTATTCCTTATTATTCAATTTATAGAAAGATTATTTGAGAATGCCTCTTTATATCCAATTTTCTTTCGTTGTCCGCAGTTCAATTACATTCTTGTTGTTGATAAACTTCAAGTAATTGGCATACACATCAAGTGGAAGACATGCAGAAAGGAGCTTCAAATGCAGATTTGAAGAAGAGAGCAACTCCAGGTTAGGTTTCTTTCTCCTTAAAAGAACAAATATCTCCTAATTAAATTATCTTGGACCTTGAGGTGAGGAGGATATATCTCTTATTAATTATTGACAAATCTTCTGCTATTGCCAATACATAATTTGTAGCTGTCACATGTTTATTTGATCTTTTGGGGTCTAAATGCAAATTAGACACCATTTCATGTGCTTATTTTTTTCCTTTTCTACTTGGAATGAAGCATTTCTTCCCATTTTTAATTTACTGAATTGGTAGCATTATGTTTTATCTGCTATGTTCCGATGCATAGATGATGATTTTGGGAAGGATTTTTTCAATTCGTGGAAATCAACAAAATTGGGAAATGATTCAGTTGATTTTGACGTGGAAGCAGTCCCAAAGAATAAAAAGGCTTCCTTTAAATTTGATGAACTGTAAGTCGTTTGCTTACTAGTTATTTTTAATTTATTATAGTTATATAATAAAAGCACTTCAGACTCATACAAGCTATTGATTTTTGAAAAATTCATCTTGGTGTTTTCCCCGTAGAATTAAATCAAAATATGACTTTCATATACAGAAAGAACCTGACGATGACACCTTTTGTCTAGTGATAATTTTGAACTCAGTGGGAACTTTGACAAACTGCCCTCCTTCAAGTTGGATGTGCCTGATCTTGATTTCTCTAGTCCGTCTAAGAAAAAAGAAAAGACAACTGAAAAGTCTTCCAAAGAACTTGTTAAAGGAAAAAAAGAACCAAAAGACGACAAATTCTCTTTTGATTTTGATTTCAACAGGTATGCTTATTTAGTGCGGATATAAGCCAACTTTTTTCTCTTGCTTGTCGACTGCTGAAGCTTGGTATTTTCATTATAAACAAAATCCATGGCCTAATTCATGCATTTTTGCTGAATGTGGTTCTACTGGAACAGTTTCGATCTTGATTCAAAATCACAGGAGGATAAAAGACCAATCAATTTTTCTGACAAAAATGTACCAGAACTTCCTTCTAAGCATGAAATGAATCAAGTATCAGGTGATAATAACTCAACAAGCATCAACATAGCAAGGAGTTAAAATTTTGCACACTTATCATGTTTAAATACCACTTGAATCCATTCAGGAGATGGTCCTTAACATTTGAAATTCTTATGACTTGCTACCTTTTCAGACCAACGTTCTGATTTTGCTCACAAGACCGAAGTATCTTTTGGCATAAGAGCTGATATTCCAAAAAATAATGAGAAGAAAACTTGTGTCACTATGGCAGGGAGAGAACATTCTGAGGAAAATTATTTGACAAAAGAAAATTCTGATAACAGCAAATATTTCTCCCTTCAATCTTTTTCTGGTGATGGTTCCACAGAAGTAGTTCTGCCTGAAATACAGATGGACAGTGCTCCTTCGGATGTTGTCAAGCCAAGAGAGATAATGTCAAAGCATGATTCTATACATCCAATCAGTAGTTCACCTTCCATGAGCTCGAGCCCTGTAGATTCATATAATTCAGGATGCTGGACAAAAGCAAGTGAGAATGAACTACCAAATCCTGGCACTTTGCTTCAGAATCAGAACAAAGGTCTATCAGCCAGGATAACAGGAAGTCTTACTGGTTCAATTAAAATCAGAAAAGATGCTAACAACTCCAGTGGCCTAAATAAATCGACTGAGGGAGTGAAAAATATTGATGAGAAGCAGAATTCCTGCCAAAATCTTATAGTACCACCAGAGAAAAATAGTTCACGCAAAAATCTTATGCTACCACCATTGAAGAGGTACTAGTTTCTCTATCACTTATAAGTTTATTTCATGTAAACAGTTGAAAATCCAAACTGCTAAGTTAAAATCTGAAGTGAATTTTGAAAATATCTGTTTTTCTATGCTTTTTTAGTTCCATGTGTGATTTTGAACTGATTCGGTGATTTTACATAAGAATGATGGTTATAGAGTAAACAAAACCAGATTCAGATAATAAGGATGGCTCATTCAAATTTATTGGAAATTGGAGTATTCATTTCTGTTTTACTGAATGAATGGATAACATCATTTACACAGCGAGATAAAGTTTGGGGGATCTACAAAGCTCCATGGGTTAATGAGCACTGGTCTGCAGTTGAAATCCATCGGTAATTTGGAAGATAATATACCCCAAAAAATTTCAGCATTTATATCAAAGCCATTCAATTCTACGCTGGATGCCAGAGCAAAGACCACTCATGCATCCATCACTAAGGAGAACAGGTGAGTTTGAATTTGTTTACCATATATCGGGATGTAAAATGTGAAGTGTGGAGTGATTTTATTGTGCATGCCATATCCGTCTTATTTATTGAAGGAGCCAACACAAACTATGGATGACATGTTAAAAATCAAATCTAAGTGTATAAAGATAGGTGTTCCGGGTGTTAAACAAAGCTAATATTGAATATCATACCGCTTGATAAGTAAGTTTGTGACCTGCGATATTTCTGGTCCATCTAGGCATCTAGGTATATGCTTAGAATAGCTTTTTATCTTTAGAGAACAAAAACTGTTTTGCTTTGAATCATCTTTTTAATCCTCCAGCATTCATTTGAGCAGATATTTTAGTGAGTAATAAGCTATGGTTTTCATGCATTGAATTCTAATTTCATGCATAAGGAACTGGAATTATATTACACTAAAGACCATTATTTTATCTTATTTATCTGCTTCCATATTAAGTATAACATTTCTTCACAAATTTCTGAAAGGAGTTTGGATCATCAAACTTAGAAATAAGTGCAAAAGATTCAATTGAAAGTGTACCTAAAAGAAAAAGCTATAGAATAGCCATGAAGTTATTTCTTATATGTTTCAAGCCTTATTTGATCTTCACTTAGTAGTTTTTGTTTCAAAATGCACGCGAGTTATTTATTTATTTATTTTAATGTTCAAATTATAAATATGCTATGAATGTCATCATTTGTCTTGAAGAAAAACCTGGAAAAGGTCGTCTCTTCAAGGTTAATGTAATGAGAAAAAATTTTAAAATAGAGAAACTTAAGAAATATAATTTCGCATACACTTATATATATATTTAAAATATCCTCATATTTAACTATGGTGTTAACTTTAATTGTCATTTTCAATCCTATAATCAAATTGGTTTAATAATAGTTGAAGGAAATTAGGGCAGTCCAAAAATCTGGGATTAAATTGGACACTTGCTAATATTTAGTGGATTCTTTTGGGTTGTTTTCTCGTAAGTTAATTTACTGTTGGAAAAGGTGCAAAAAATGCAGGACTAATACAACAATAATTTTGCTAATATTGGGAATCTTTCCTTCAAAAGTAAACATTGGTGGGAAATCTAGATGCATGATAAGCTGCCATTTTACTAACAATGAAAAGAAAGTACTAAGTTAACTTCTTAGATGAATCACAAGTTGCTATTGTTAATGAAATCCCACTTGCTTCTTGGTTCTTGCTTCTTGAACGAGGCTTTGCTTTTGTTTCTTTGCTTAAATTCTTGGCAGATTTACACATACTTTTGTTTATGTTATTTGAATTCCGAGGCTTATGAATCTATTCCAAGTATTCGTTATATAAATTTGTTCCAGTTTACAAATTAAAACTTCAAGTGCATCCCACCAAAATTCATTGGGTTCCAAAAACGTGGCAACGCCTAGACTTCAGAAACCCATTACTGATACTACTATTGACCCCAAGGGGTCATATGCTGGTAATAACACTGGTTCAGTAAAAGGTAACAAATTATGTATCTTTATTTGTTGGGTTTTAATTGTTCTTCTGATCATTGTGTGATATTAAATTCTTTTCCTAAGCAGAGAATGTCATAGCAAAACTTATTTCCAGCAATAGACTTGGTTCTCAGATCACTAAAACTAATAAGGGTGCCACTTCGGGTGATAACAGTCATCGTGGTATTATTGGCTCTGCTATTTCGAAGTATGATGATATGACGATCTTACTGTTGTGGTCATTACTTCATATTCAATTTTTTTGAAAATTATACTATTCTTTGGAATTCAGAATGATAGATGTGAATCAAAACAAACCAAATTCTGCAAAACCAAGAGAAGCAAAATCAGTGCCGTTTTTGGAGAAAAGGATGGAATGCCCTTTAAATGCCGCATCTAAAACAACCAACTCGGCCAATATTGAGATGAAAGCTTCTTTGCATGCATCTTTGAAGCGGAAGATTGATGAGGTTTTTCATTGCCATTTTTAATTATTTAATACACTTCGGATTTTTTGGAATAGATGCTTATCATAATCATTTGATAATAATTTTCATCTTTTTTCTCATGCCATGCAACTAAAGGCAACTATATTAAGGAGCTGTTTGAGTATCTAAAAAAAGAATGCATTGTAAAATGAATATTTTGTTGTTTGGACGAGTGTAAAGTAAATTCAAGTGAATTATTTTTTTATTGAAGTAAAATAAATGTAGTATAAAGTTTAAAGATAATGGTGATCGGCAGACGGGTGGCTGCGGCGACGAAGGGTAGCGGCCGACGACGGGTGGCGGCGATGGTGGCTGGCGGTGGGTGTAAACCATTCTTGCTGAAAACTGGGCGAGTTTGCTTTACCTCAAGAATGAACTAGAATTGTTTAACAAAAGTTGTAAAGGTATCTTAATAGTCTTAAAATGCATGTCCTTTCCTGAAACGGACCCTTTAAATTCAATGAAACTGCAAGCTCCCTTTCATCAAAAAGTCTCATAGGTCTTATTCTTCAAACAAAAATGTTCATATAAATATCTTCATTCCTAATCCTCTATTTTTTTCCCATTGGAGTATTAATTTTTATTTTTATTTTTTAATTTAAATGTGGTTTGGTGTGTTAAGGAGCACCAACATATTTTTCAATTACCCATTAGATTAATACTATCATATGCCTAAACAATTTCTGATGTGGACATCGACCAGAGGTTCAGACATGTGTATCGCCGTAGACAGCGCAGATCGACGGCCGAGATTCAGAGTTTATATTTCTAGCTATTTATGTATTTCTTTTATGCATTGTTCTTTTACTTCCTATTGTACCCTTGGTCTAAGTTGAGTCATGAGTGTAGCCCTGAGGGCAAGAGAGTCATTGTATTTTCTTTTTTTTTGGGACCTATATATAGGCCATGTCATGTTGTATTTGGGCTTAATGAATTATTGAATGAAAAGTTATCTTTGTTTCCACTTTCTTAGCATGAGTGCTTGAGAGGGAAGAGAGCGCAAGGGGAGCATTTCGCAAGGCCCACCAATCGTCGGAAGAGTCCTCGATTCGTGGTTAGTTTTTATTTTATCTTCTTGATCGTGTTCCCATCCACTTCCTTCCCCCTCTCTCCCACAAGAATTCCCCTTCTCATATTGCCGCCGCCCCCTGTGAGGAATCCACCGCCGGCCTTCCCCAAATTTCCGGCCGGCCATCTTGCCGGCGCCACCACCTTCATCCACCCGACCACCCACCACCACCGGCCACTTTCAACATTTCCCCCCATGCTCAAATTTTGAATTTCAAAATTATTTGAGTTCCTAAACTTTCCAAATTTGTCAAAACGCCATATTAGGAAAGTATGAAATGTCATTCAATCTAATTTTAAATTAGATTGGATCACTTTATTTTCATCCTAAATTGGATTTCTCTAATTTGGAAACTTGATAACTCACCACATCACCCCTCCCCTCTCACCATGCCGCCGGCCCCATGGGTTTATTCCCATCATTAATTGCTCCATTAATCCCTCTTCAATTTGGAGTTAATATTTTAATTCCAAAACAAAATTCCCTCCCAAATTTCAAATCCTGAAATTGATTTCAGGATTTATTGCTAAAACTCCTCCCTTCCCCCTCTTGTAACCGCCGGCCTCCTCTCTCCTTGCCTCCCCCATTAATTCCCCTAATCAAGGCATTAAATCTAATTGATTGGGAATTCAAATCTTAGGCAAATCCCTCCTAAATTACACAAAACTGAAAGCAAATCTCAGATTTGTGTAATTCCCCTTCATATCTCCTTCTAACCTAATTTCTTCCCCAAAACCTTCCCCTCCTTCCTTGCCCCCACCGGCCTCCCCCTCTGCTTCCTGCTCCCGCCGCCCCCCATCCCCCTTCTCTTGTGAATTGAGAAGCCCACGACAGAAGAAGGCGTCACTTCCCCTCCATCTCGATGTCGAATGGCGGATCCGGAGTTTGAGTGGGGTATTGTCTTCCAAGCCGACGGAAGCGTCGACATCCTACGGTCACCTTGCTTCGACGTAGGTTTTGAAGACGAAACTACCGTGGAGGAATACGTGGACAGAGTCGTGCCAATCCTTGCAAGCATCTACGACCGGAGATTTGCAAAGCACACTTGGAGTCTCGAGAGTCCAGCATTCACGCCCTCCTCGTCATCGTCGACCCCTCCGTGGCTCAAGACTCTTGGCATCGCAACCATCTTCGTGGCATCCTTGAGTATACATTGAGTGTAAGTGAGCAAGGTACTCGTAGTGAAAGTTCTTGATATTAACCGTTGGATTCTGTATTATTTTCCGCATTCGATTATTGTGAAACTTTTAAGATCTATCCATAATTGGGCTCAAACAACTAGCTTGTGATTGCTTATCATAACATTTTGATAACGGATAATTTCTTGAATCTCAACTTTAGATAATCTAATCTTATAAGCGGTAAACTTTGTAATTCTGAAATAATTTCATGTGCAATTCTTGAACGTTTCACATCAATTTCTCTCTCCTATGACAATTCTTCACATAAGTTATCACTCCCCCTCAAATGCAAGCTCATTATGTATCATGTATTAAAAAGACACTCAACCATATAGAGGCCCCATGAGAGTCACCCACTTTTAAGCTTTGCTTAACCATTGTAGAAGGTGTCATAGGTTACATAAATCCCTTGTTCCTACCTTGATAACTTACCTATAAATTGTTAAATTTGAATAGTTATAATAATAACATATATCGAAGGAAATATCTCCATTTTATATGGTATGTAGAGGATGAGGCAATATACTATGCTGAACCGACATAAAGTACCACATTTGCGGGCAATTGCCTAATGCAGGGGTTGAAACATGTGTTTTCTCCGTATATAAATAAATTTAACTATAAGCTGAAGGGATTGAAAAAACTTTCTCCAGGTGCTTGATATTAACTTTGTTTCCTATGTCGAACAAGTATTCATATAACTCTATGAGGTTTTGACAGTTTATGGTTATTGAAGTTTTCAGCATGTTTAAATTCTGTATTTATTTAACCTGGTGCGAATCCATGCTTGTGTCCGCCCGTAATGGTATGGTAGATTCCTGTATGTGGTGCAATTAATATGTTTGAAGGAAAGCCTGTTCAGCGTTCCATATTTGCTCTTTTAGCAATCAGCTGCAAATCTGGAGACCGCAAGTCCCTTGGAATGTGTCGAAGGGTCCAATGCTAACCTAAGGTTATTTATCCATTCTGAATATTTGACATTATGCCGACTATATTTGAATCTATCATACGACTTCTCAGTTCTCACTTATTAAATTCTTCTTTCCCAGGATTTCATTGGAAGCATCTCCAAACGCCAAAGTTAAAATGGTGGGCATGAATCAATCGCACGGACATCTATTACTCCTAATCATATTAATTGGTGAAATTCATTTTTTTTCCTCTTCCTCTAATTTTTTAGTTTCCAGAAATCAAAGTCGTAGAAACTTGCAAGGATCTCATTCCTCTTACAAACCAAACTTCTTTAACTTCTGTCCCTGAGATGGAAAATCTTGTAGCTGGAGTTTCACCATTTTTTATGGAAGATGACAATCTCAGAAAGGCTGAAACTCTTACAAAGGAGCTTGAAAATGTAAGTTTTTTTGGTATTATGCACAGTGTTCATCGATCATGTAAATAGAAAAGAAGATATTGCAATTGCATTCTGCTTTATATTGCTTTTACCTTTGAGAAAGGCTGGGATTCTTACTGAATAACCTTGCAGATATGCAACTTGGTGAGAAAGAAGCACGAAGAAGCCAAGGAGCTTCAGGTCCGCTCAATAATAAACAATAATGCATTGCTCTTGCTCAACTATCCCATGCTAGAGGAAAAGATATCCTTTTCATCAGTACAATAGCCATTTTTGTTATCCTTGTTTCATCTGATCCTCCAAATTGTGTTCCTTTACACTCAAAACATTCAGTCGCTTCAGAAATTTTCCTCTAGCCTGCTTCTTAAGCAAATCTGAAGAGTGAACACATTCCTGCTTTTGTTTGTTAAAGCTTCCTGCAGTTCATGATTGTGTACAGAACAGAAGCCGTCATGCTTCTGCTGCTATCATCATACTTCCTTTTTTTACTTTTCCTGATGATATTAGTAACATCACCTACACTGAGATAAACGTGACTGGCCGAAGCCAATAAGGCAATCAGTCGGAGCATTAGTAAGGGACAAATGAACTTACTGATTTCTCTTCAAATTTGTTTAGGACGCTTTCTCTTAAGCCATGATTGAGACCCGTAAATAAGTACATCCAGGTGTGTAAATCTTATTTTCTTTTCCTTTTTAGTCCTCTTAAACATTACTTGGGAGTTTGACCGGTTGCGTCTGACCGCTACTATTGAGCTATGCACTGACTAGGTCAGGCTTTCTCAGATTGGTCTATTTTACGAGAAATTATTCTGTGCGGATGCCGAATGCAGTTCATCATCCGGAACGTCACTTCAGTAGTACCGAGCGGTACCGAGCGCAGCATCAAGAGGAGGTGATGTGGCGTATTTTGATTGGTCTCTAGACGGTGTTCGGGATCCGCACAGAATAATTTGCCCTATTTTACAGCCGACCAACTTATTTGGGTCAAGTCTGGGCTTATGGCCATATTTTATTTCATTTTATTTGCTCCGAAACACTGCATGTAGGGTGTCAATTTTGATACGACCTGAAACACGATCTGAGCCGAACCCGAAAAAATCCGGGTTAGGGTCAACCCAGACCCGAAACGGGTCGGGTTCGGGTTCAACAAATCAACACGTTTTAAAAATCGGGTCGGGTTCGGGTTGACCCAGCAACCTGAAAATGACCTGAAATTGACACGAAAACTCATATTTGACCTAGAAACTTGAGATTGGCCTGTTTTTTACCCAAAAATCAAAGATTGATCCGATTTTTTACCCAAAACTAGCAATTTTAGGTCAACTTCGGGTCATTCGTGTCAGGTCGGGTTCGGGTCCGGAAACCTGACCCGTTTTTTAAAAACGGGTTGGGTTTCGGTTGACCCGAATAATGTCGGGTCAATTCTAGGTTCGACCTGAACCTGACCCTTTGACCCGAATTGACATCCCTAACTGTATGGGCGTATGGTCGGCTGTTGTTACTAACTACTGCTATGAACTTCCCCACCGGCTTAGCTAGGACTTGTCTTGATTGGCTTATTTTTTATGGCCAATTAATTTGGGCCTTGGGTTGGGTCTGAGCCTACTTAAATCCTTGATAAGTTATCTTGTCATTTGTGCTCATTATTAAGTTATTTTCCTAAGCATCCTAGAAAAAGAAATTGATTTTAAAACCATTTTATTCAGCATCCAATAACCGCGAGGATGATAAGTTTTTTTGAGAAAAACATTTTAAATTAGGATAAAAAATGAAAATTTTAAAAGTTAAAAGAATAAAAGTTTAAACTGCTCCAAATAAAGCCTGAATAACCAAGTTACTATTAGCCTATTTGATTGCTTGTACATAGAAAGTTATTTCAAAAATTGACGATCTCATTTAATATGTGAACAAAAAAAAAATGAAAAAAATAAATAAATTTAAAAAAAAAATGTGAACCAAATTTTACATTCGGCGAGGCTTCCAGCAGATTTCCAGAACTTAACAATTGACATTGAATTCTTACTCATCCAATAAAATGATGGAACTAACCAATTATTAGTGTATTACTATATTAAAAAAAAAAAAACCTTTTTTTTCGGTCTCCAACAAACAAGTCCATATGCAAATTACAAATCTACCATTGACCAAGCTACAACAGCTAAGCTAATATCAAGATTCTGTTTGAGACCGTTTTCATATAATTTTCTAAAGCAATTTTTTAATAAAAAAATTTATATTTCAAAAAATGTTTATATCAAAATATTATTCGACTAAATAGTAAGAAAATTATCCCAAAAAAATCTACGATTTTATTTTAGTCAACTTTCTTAATAACATTTAAAACAATTTTTTAATACAAAATTTCTAATTAATTTTTTTTTAAGAAAATAACAAGAATATTATCCTAAACAAAACCTAAGACTTCGTTTGAGACAACTTATTGTTTTCTAAAATAATTTTTTAATACAAAATTTTCAATTAAAAAAAATTTTGACTAAAAATTTATTTTAAAAAGCAAATAAAAAAACTAACACAAATGAAGTTGAATCAATATTTTTACTACTTTATTTTTTAGATTGTAACCACAATTCCAATTTGACCACTATCTTAAAAAAAATGTATGCTAGAAAACTATTTTTATGGTAGTTTTTTTAAAAAAATTATTCTCCACAATAATTTACAACCGCCTTTAAAGAAAGCTATATTCAAGACAAACGAACCCTTAGGCTTTATTTAGGACAACTTTTTTATCATTTTCTATAGCAACTTTTTAGTACAAAAGTATCTTAAATTAAAAATAATTATACTAAATAAACTATTTTAAAAAGTAATATAAAAGTTATCCCAAATGAGAGCTTCATTTAGAATAATTTTCTTATTGATATTTTTTAATTTAAAATTCTGTTTATTAAAAAATTACTTTTGAAACTAATAAGAAAATTATTTCAAATGAAACCTAAATCATAAAAAAATGTGGAACCAACAATCTAACAAGCTCAATAATTCTTAAAACTTACATGCTTGAGCAACAATTACATAAATGACAAAATATAATTGATTTGATTCCTCAACTGCATTCTACTTGCAAGTAGCAAACGAAAACCACAATGTTGTATTAACTATCAAGTTTCAATCCCAATCATTCCAACTATTTTAAACAATTAAGATTGATTCTACTTGTTTTTCTCCAAAAATCACTCCGATTTTTAGAAGAAAATAGTCCAGGCCATCCAATATCGGTTGGTTAGTCAGAATTTATGAATGTAAACTTATCATGAAAATAATTTGAATTCAACAATGCGTGCTGTGTAATGCCTCCTGCATTCATGAATGTTCATATGATTCCACTGAAATTCCCTGGAAAGTGACCTAATAATCAAAATTACAGTTACAACTATAAATAATAGAATATTTAGACTTTATTTGAGACTTTTTTTATTGTTTCTTAAAACAGAATTTTAGTAAAAAATTAACATTTTTTACTAAAATTCTGCTTTTAAAAACAATAGAAGAGTCGTCCCAAACGAAGCCTTAAACTAAGAGGAGATTGAAGTTACTATGTTAGGCCACCTGAATAGTATACAATCCAACTGGATGTTCTGTTTCCAGGGGCCATGCACAATTCAGTGCAGGTTTCATTAACAATTGGGCCTTCAATGACAAGCAATGAGCATAAACCAGTGCTAAGATGTCAAAACCATGACCAAATTCGTCTCAGAACAACAGCAGGTAATAACAAAATTGCTCGATATAGAGGCTTCACCAACATTAGAGAACGCTTGGATTGGGAAATCATTTCACAAATGTTTACCTTTGTTCACGAGATGTGCTTCTACCTTACCAAAAATCTTCAGGAGTTTCTGCACACCATGGGCATCATGATCAACCTTGATAACCTGAAGCATGAAAAATTAAGGTTTCGTTTGGGACGGCTTTCTTATTGCTTCTTAAAGCAGCTTTCTAGTATAAAATTTTTAATTTTTAAACTAAAAAGTTGTTTTAAGAAGCAATAAAAAAGTTGTCCCAAATGAAGCCTGTGACGACTTCTTTACTTCTTAAAGCGGCTTTCTTGTTCAAAAATTAAACATTTAATACTAGAAAGCCACTTTAAGAAAGCCATCCCAAACGAAACCAAAATTTCAATTTGGGCATCTAAATAATAACTAAATAATAAACACCAACTCAAGCACAATAGGCAAGCTTATTAGAGGAAACAAGTCATGGAGCCAATCCCTGGAATAAGCTGAGGGAAAATTAACATTTACAGACATGCATGTGTGCACGGCAATGCATATTTGTACGTAATTAGTGGATAAGATAGGTGAATTTTTATATTGACCATAGCTATAGTGGACTTGTACTTCAAAGGGACGAGCCACACTCAGTCACTCCTAGTTCAACCACTGCTCCCACCCTCAAGCCCAAATGCATGTATGAACTCTCAAAATTCATGGCATTTGGAAGAACAAAAATTATGCCTGTATAAGAAGATTTATCAAAAGAGTTATTACCACGTTAATTTAATAGTATCAGGGACTTTTTACATTGTCGTTAAGATAGGAAGCATATTAGGATATCGTAGGAGAGGCTGTTTATCATATATAACACAAAAATAAATAGGCGCATCACCTAATTAGAATTTGTTCTTATGATTTTGTATCCAACAGTCAAATCTATTATCATCTTGTTGTGTCTAGGAATACTCACGGCCGTGGACATATAGGGAGTTCAGCATTCTAGTTTTCTACAAAGATCCAGTATACATACAGATGTGAGAGGAGCACGAGAATTATAAGAGACATAAAAAATTTTACATGAAAAACCCGTGTCTTGCCCAATTAAAATGATTCCACTATTGTTTGTTATCGATTATAAATAATGTCATTCCTCGAGGCAAAGCATGGATGCAATGTAAAGAACATATTGCTTGGTTGAAGTTGAAGATCCATGAAGCCGAAATCCAACATAAATTCTAGTGCGGTAGTTTGGAATCAAAGTTGATGTGGATGGGGTGCACAAATCTTATAAGTGATGGTTTGCATTGGCATTATTGGTAATAATAGGTGATGAAGTCACCAAACAACACTAGTCAGGAGATTACAGGTCAAGGGATCGTAGTTGGGCAACAGTAGTCTGAAGGACCGTAATTGGGCGATAGTGATCCAAATAACTCAAGTTGAACAATGGGGTTGGAAGGCTGTAGTTGAGCGACGAGGGTCGAAGGATCATAGTTGACCAACAGGTGCCAAAGGACGAGAGGATCCTAGTTGGGCGACAAGGGACAAAGGATTGTATTTGAGCAAAGAGGGTCATAGGATTGTTATAGGGCGATGGTGGTCGGCAAACCGTAATCCACAGTTGACGGATGTCAAAAGATTGTGGTCAGGAAATGAGGGTCAGAAGACCACGGTTGGGTGACGCTGGTCAGAGGATCGTAGTCAGCGGACAATGGTGATCGGAGGATGACTGAGATCCAAGAATCGTAGTTGGTTGATATTGGTTGGAAGACTGTAATCGGCGGATGGTGGTCGAAGGGGCATAGTTGGTTGACGATGGTCGAAGGACCATAGTCAGTCGGCGTGGTCAAGAGGACTGTAGTTGAGCAAAATTGGTTGGTGGATCGTAGTTGGTCGACGGTGATCGTAAGGACCGTAGTAGGATGACCATGCTCCAAGGTTCGCAGTTGAAGGATGACGGAGGTCGGAGGATTGCAGTCGAATGACTGTGATGCAACGATGGCGGTTAAGAGATATTAGTACAAAGCTATGGCTCGACGGTGGCCTAATGGTGGCATCAAGCGGTAGTTTGATAGTGACGATTGGACGCGTATTGACGGCAATGGTCAAGCAGTGGTTCGACAGAGTTGTTAAAGTGATGGCCAGACAGTAGGATGGGTGATTGTTAGATGACAGTGTCGGGCAATTGTCTGATGGCATCGATTGAGCAATTGTCAAACGACGACGGTCAGACAGTGGCCCGACGGTAGTGCATGAGGATTTTTAGAGCATCAATGCTCTCTTGAATATCAAACTAACATAATCCAAGCTTTTTCTACCCTTATGGAGATAGTGTGAGCTTATTTATAGATTTTTTAGAGTGGCATGCCATATAAATATGATTAAATTCCAGAAAACTCCATCGAACGATCCATATTGATCCCCTTGATCACAAAGCGTTCATTCAACATTTAAGTGCATTAATGATGTAAGAATTAAGCGATCTTGTGCTCGTTAGATTCAACTCTTCGAGACACTCGATTTTACTATAAGTATGTAAATTTGGAGACCATCTGGTCATTTGAATTAATGTCATGAAGTTTTCCATTACACTTCAGGCCCTTGATTTGGGCTCATTTGGCTCCGATTGAGTCACTTTGGTGTCATTGAGTGCTTCTTGTCGAAATGTTTAGTTCAACTATAAGTTTGTTAAAATTGGAGTTTGGATGTTCGTGAATTCAATTTCAAAAGTTTTCTATTTAAATATACACCGAGATTCATGTCCGATCAAGATAATTATTTATGACGAGTCAATTCTAATAGTTACAATTGTTGGCTTGCTAATACCCAACTATTGACATAACATTTTAAAAAATAAAGATAGAATAGAATAAAAAGAATATTTGAAATCATTAAGTTTTTAAGCCCACGATACATCCAAGTGCCCAAATTGGCATCATATCGTCATGGTCTCATCCCACCTCTATTGGGATCAACTTTATAAATTTTGTTTCTCAATAGAACGTTTGTCTAATCAACATACAATGCTACACCATAGTATCGACAAGGTTGGATGCTCTAAAACATAATTCAAGATGTAAATAGCCCTAACTCGAGCAATATATAAATCATTTACGTCACATTTGTTAAGTGCCCTTGCATGAGCTGGTAAGCATAATCAACACAATTGTTCTTTTGCAAAATTTATTCCAGTGATTGCAATTTTTCTTTATTTTATCCTTTGATCAACTATCTATTGAAAGGATAGTCTATTGTTCGAAGATCAAACTGTGCAAGTGGTTTCTACTAAAGCTTCCAAAGAGCAGTGAAATTTCTCGCATGATTGTTATTCATGTTCTGAGCATAAAGCTCAAACAAGATTGGATGAGCTTGTTTGAACATTAATATGTCGTCATAAGATTTACTTCATAAAATATGAATTTTGAAAACCTAACTATTTAGGTCAAAAATTACAAGAATTAATCATGAGATCACCTGAACAGAATACCAAAACGCCTAAATTCAAACAAAAAAAGGCCTAAACTAAGCAGTCAAAAGTATAGTTAGAAACTTCATGAAACAAATATTGTGAAGCAAATATTATGTATTTATCATCAAACGTGCATCTTGACAAGACATTTGAGAAATCCAACACTGCTCAATTTCAAGCTAATTAAGGCAATAATTTGTCCGAGAAAACATAAAATGATCAATTGTTCGGGTACACTCTTAAGGCATGAAGCAATGCTTAAAATTGTGCAACATGGGGCACACGCCTCAAGCATTTCCTTTGAGGCATACAACATAAGGCACGCCTTGCTTCACTGGCTTGAGGCATACTCCTCAAAGTACTTAATGTTTTTTAATTTTTAAAAAATCTAAATTGAAAATTTTTTAACCTAATCTAAACAGCCGCACATTCATGCACTAAACACACCCGAAGCTGAGGCATCCATCCTCGACTTCTCATCCCACAACGAGCTCCTTGCCGCCAACCTGCCGCCTCTATCTACTCTTCCTATTACACAATTTTTTCCTTCCCCAGGTATTCTTCAACCTCTTCCATTTTTTTTCTTAAAATTTTTGAAACCCTAATTTTGTTTTGTATGAATAACTATATTTAATTTACTTTTTATTTCATTTTTCTATGTTTAAAATCTTTTTTTAACTCTTTTTTTTTTAACCCCAATTTTTTTGTTTAAATGATTTATTATTCTCAATTTGCTATGGTAGGATTCATAGAAGAGGGTTACAGATAAAGATAAGACCACATCAGGTCATAGGAAGGACCCAATGTAGAAACATACATTCAAGTTGATGTGGAAGGTAGCGACAAGACATGTTTACTTAAAATATAATTATTATGGGAAGGTGGTAAAGGGTGGCGTAATTAGGATGAAGGAGCAACTATCTGAATCCCATAAGAATGTGGCACCATATGTGAAAATGCCTAATATGGTGAAAGAGGAAATCAAGAAATAAATGAATAAGTAAACAACATTGAAGTAGGAACAATTCGATGACAAAATTGGCTTATACTACGAGAGCGAACATAGTGGTCCAAATTCATCATTCTCATTGCAACCCATGCCCTATAGAGGTCTAAGGGGTGGATCACTACATGACAAACCTCAAGGAGGATAGAGAGGCAGATAGGCTTCTGCATCACAAAAGCTGTCCATGGAAATTGCTAGGGAGACACATAGACAATATGCACAAATATAAGCAAATATTTTTATGAGAGTGTTATTCCTTTTAACGTTGCAACCTCCACTGCTAACTTAAACATGATCCATTATATTGGAGTGTAGGGCAAGGGTTGAAGCATCTGTCCATATTTGAGGACATGGATTTTGAAGGAGTTGGCAAATATTGAAAAATACATTAAGAAAATAAAGAGGTCCTAGAGCTAGATAGGGATAATTATCATGTCTAATTGATGGTCAAACATAAAGAACATATGTCTAATAAATGTACTGATCAATAACCCTTACGACATTGCATTCTTTAAGTCTTTTGAGGCATATGATCAAGTAAAGAATGTTTTTTTTTTTTTTTGGAGTACTTATGGTGTTGTTGATAAAATTGTGGAGCACTTGTTGGTTCATGTGATGATAGATAATGTCAGTGCTTGCAGGCAGCACATGCAAAACTTATGTAGAAAAGAAAGCATTTATATTTGACACCATATGCTACACAGTACATAGACTTGATCCTTAAAAAACTTAGGGAAATGCCACAACATAAGAATGTACTGAATAAAACAAAAAATAAGCAAACTTATATATAATCATTCTTGAATTTTGACTCTCATAATTTTGAAAAAAAAAGAAATGTAGAGGCCTACATTAACAAGATTTGCCACAACTCGTTTGACTTTACAGAGCATGTTAAAGGCAAGATAGCATTATGAGGCTACATTCACTTCAATACAATAGCTGTGTATCTAAGGGGACAGAAGTTAGAAAGATTGCTTTGAATGAAATATTCAGCTACAATGTGCTTTATGCTATTACGACCCTAAATCACGACCCAACATCTTGAATATACATGTTGTGACCACCCACAAAAATTGACAAATTTTGTAAAACTATTTTGTTTCTGAACCAACGTCATAGAATTAATCAGTTACTAAATACGCCTTGACCTACAGCATCATAGTAGAAGCCATTTCATAAAACAAATGGCGCATGATTAACAGATAAAAAACAATTCAAAAACCAATCTAAAATGAAGTTAATGGCACCTTCAGTAATCTTTTCATTGGCATCGTGCTCTGTTGGCTTCTCAACCAGATTGACAGATAAATCTGCCATTTTTAGGCCAAGCATTAATTCTCTTCAAACTTTTTTCTACAGCTGTCTTATTCTTACTTAATGGCTGCAACAAAGATATTGAAAGTATAAAATAAAGTTAGAATTAAACAGAGAGATCTAACCAAACAAGTTTTCTGGAAGTGAGACATCTTTGAACCAAAATCAAGCTTGCGAGGCCACAGCAAACTGCTAGTTCCCAAATTCCCTTTGTCTTCACAATAGCACGTAATTGTAAGAAAAGAAACTCAACATTATGTTGCCATACATCTTGAATTTGTTCCTAATAGTGAGCATCTAGCCCAAGACATCTGCAACCATGGAAACACGGAATTGTTTTGCAGCAGTAATAAACCATGAGTAACTCAGAACGGAACCAGAGAGCAAGTGACAATCATGACAAATGGAACCCCTACTTTATGTCATGCAAGAATCGAGCCCTCCATATAGCTGCCTTGAGTATCTTTGCATCCTTTCCAAATCCTGAGCACCGGAGACCACGAAGGACTGCAAGTTGAGCAGACTTGAGCACCTCAACTCCCTTCCTCAAGCAAGTCCATAGGAATTTAGATGCAACACGGAACCTGCCCACTTTACATAGACCATGCAACAGAGCCGTGTATGTGAAAGAATCTCGTATCTTCATCATCTTGAATACACTAATGGCATGATCCACCTGTCCAGCTTTGCATAACCCATCAATAAGGCAATTGTAAGCTACCAAGTTCATACTTAAGCCACTTATTTCCATAACACGCAAATGATTCCTAGCAGAATTAACATCGCCTAATTTGCAGAACCCATCTACCAACGTAGAGTATGTGTACTCATCACTTTGCAGACCAGCTTCTTCGATCTCATTCACCAGCTGCAATGCATTATTCATATTTTTTTCCTTGCAATACACGTTAATTATAACATTATAACAAGCCAGATCAATCCCAATACCATTTTTAAGCATCTGCTGGATGCATAGATGAGCATCTTCAGTCTTACCCCTCTTGACTAGGGCACTAATAACAGTGCAATAAGCGAACACATCAGATGTATATTCTTTGCTCATCATCTCGGAGAATAAATCTAAGCCTTGCTCAAACTTTCGAGACTTAAACCAGCATTTCATAACAGTAGTATAGGTTATAGCATTAGGAATAATACCTGATTCTCTAATCTCCTTAAAAATGCTTCTTACCTGACCTAGTTTACCAGATTTAAAGAGCCCATCAAGCATTGTATTATATGTAACTAGCTCAGGAGAGAAACCAAATTTCTGCAACCTCCTAAATGTCTTGATAGCGCTAACTGATCTTCCGTACTTGAAATAGCCATTAATCAATGTGTTATATGTAACAATAGATGGGGAGATATTTTTTGAACTCATATCAGAAAATATCTGAAAGGCTTCCTCTGGACACCCACAGTTAAACAAACAGTGCATCAAAGTATTGCAGCTCCATTCATCAGGTGTTATTCCATCTTTTGACATTTCATCGAACAGATGACGGCAATAAGAGGGCAGATTATATCTACTTGCCCCAGCCATAAGGGAATTGTATGTAATCACATCAGGTTTTACCCCTGCTTCTCGCATTCTTCTAACAATCAAATATGCTTGATCTAAGCCCACAAAGCGACAATATGCAGCGATAAGAGTATTATATGTCACAACATCAGGAAGGCAACCTAGCCTTATTCCATCAACAACAACAGCCTCAGCCTTATCCAATTTCCTAGCCTTACATAGTGAAGCAATGCAAATGTTCAACAACTGAGTTGAAAATCTCCCACGCATTCCTCATAATATCATGGCCTGAACAATTCCATTACCTACAGAAGAATATAACACGTATAAGTATGGTGTCTAAACTCAAAATGCATAGAATACTAAATAGTGCCACTGATTTTCAAAAGTTCATGAACGAAAAAGCTGTAGGAGTATTATTTACAAGTGAAACATGGACAGATAGCCGTATGTGATTAATGATTTCAGAACTGCCTTCTCTGTTGTGCATGAACAAAAGCTTAAGTATAGCATTTTTAATTATGCACATTGGACAAAAGAAAATAATTACTCAGATGATTGTCAAATTGCTATAAATTTAATTGAAGAATCACAACTAGTACACGAAAAAGTGGTTTCCCCAAAATTGAATTCAAACTATTTAAAAGCAGTTCATAGACTAACTTTCAATACCAGAAGCTTTGCTAAAACAGTTGGTAAAAGCACTCCAATGAATAAGTGATGAAGAACTATGAGTATTTTTTTTTTTTAATATAAATGAAGAACTATGAGTGCTTTATATGATTGATGTAAGAATTTGCATGCTTTCAAGTAAGAGCAATAAGAATTAAAACATTAGTCACTTAACGAAAATGTAAAACAAGAAAGGGGCGTCTTAGTTTAAGGCCAAGCCACACAATAATAGTTAGAATCACAAATCAATTAGAAATTCAATATAAGCAAATATAGAGGATTTTCAATAACATCCCTAGATTAACAACGAGATTAAAAATATAGAAGTCCATCACTCATTCCCTACGTTTACTAAGCTTTGGTGAAGAGCTTTGCAAGATTCTTTATGCGTGATACCCAACCACAATCGAAGGAGAATAGGAAGGAAATTGAGGAGGGGAAAAGAGTTCACCCTTGTCTTGGCGTGGTGGTAATTTGCCATGAACGGTGGAAAGTTGTTCCTCGATGGCTTCCGAAAGAGTGAATATGATGCGCTCCAAGTATTCCTCGACGGAATTATCTACCTCCGGATTGATGTCGAAGAAGGGGGATTGGAGGATGTCGACGAAGCCGGAGTCGAGTTCAAGATCGGCCATGCACAAGAAACGTGGCGCTGAAGTATTGTGGAAGACGTTCTTTTGCTGTCCTTGAGGATTCTCCTTGGGAGAAAGAAGTTTCTCCAAGGAATCCAAGTAAAAGAAGGGATGGGAAGGTGGCCGACCAAGGTAGGAGGCTTGGGGAAGTTCAGGTTCGATTTTAAAGGGGGAGGCTAGGGGAAATAGGGTTTTAAAAGTTCGAATTCAAGTAAAGATAAGGGAGGGAAAATCAATCCCTAATGAAAGGCTTGATTGAAGTAAATAGAGGGAAGGGAATTAATGTGGAGAGAGATTGGGAGAAGGGGGGCCGGCAGCATGGTGATGGGGATGGAAGGTTTAGGAAAGGGATTTAATACTTCCTTAAGTGGGAATCCCAAATTAAGGAGGATTTAAATCCAATCCAATTCAAAATTGATTGGGATTTGATATGAAGAACTTTCGTGAAATAGGATTCTATTTTAGGAAATATTTCAAAATTCAAAATAGATTGAATAATTGAAATCAAGACTTTCCCAAAAAGAGGTTATGTAGGAAAGGAAAGTAATGATGAGGAGTTTTGAATTTTGGAGGCAAAAGGGGGAGGGAGTAGGCCGGAGGCTAGGCTAGGGTTGGGGTGGGAATTTGGGTGGCTTGGAGATGGGGAGGATGGGGTGTGGCCGAGTAGGAAGGGGTGTGTGGTGTGGAGCTTGGCCGAGAGGTGGGATGGGAATTAGGGTCGGCCGGCGGTGGGAAGGATTGGAGGTGGCTGGCTGTTTTGGGAGGAAGGGCTTGGTCGTACGGTGGGAGGGAGGGGAAGGGAGGAAGAGGAAAAGATCAAGGTAGAAAAGAGCCACAAACCCAGACACTTCCAAGATTGGTGGGTGATCCGTTTACCCTCTCCTAAGGATTTCTCTCCAAAGCTCTCAAGAAACACAAAGCTGCAGAAATTTTTATTATAATTCTTCATTGACTTCAAAAAAAACATAAAGGGCTTATAAATAGCCTCATACAATGAAAGGGAACTAAAAGACAACCTTGCCCAAAGGGCTTACATATGACCAAACCCTTAAGTAAGGGTAAAATGGAAAAAGAAAATAAAACAAATACATAATGCAAACAAATAAAACAAATATATATATGATGAATCAAAAATAGATCGGCGCGATCGTGACCGTAGATCATCGGCCACATCTCTGATATACTTTTCATGAGCTGATATCCCTATAATAAGCTTTTGAAATAAGCAATGCCAATGCATTGCTCCAACATGAGCAAGTGAATTCCTAGTCAGATTGATGGGGTATATAAGTTTATGTAAGGGTTATCAAAAGCAGATGTGTTCTAGCTTGTCTCACAAAATAGACACCGTGCTCAAATCAACACAAATACTGGTCGAGGAGCTTTTAGCACAAGCTCGACCAAGCTCAAGCTTGACCTCCACGGCCTGAGTTCAACTCAACAGCTCAAACTCAATTGACTAGAGTGAAGGTTCAACTCCATCAAATCATCAATTTTGGCTATCAAAAAGCCGGATTAACAACTTCATCCACGTGAATCTCTAACATCACCAAATAAAAAGGAATTAGAAGATTGAGTGCTCTTCCACTTAATAAAAAGCTGAGGTATTGCTCTGAAATTTCTATCCCTGGTTATCTAGAAGAAAGGGGAATTTTGAACAAAAATGATTTTAAAATAATAATAATAATAATAATAAACTGTTCCATCTACAAATCATGTTGGTAGTGAGCAATGGTTCCAAGTAAGATGAAGGAACACTGCTTAAAGTCCACATGTAACATGACAGAGAGGGATTACATAGATGAGGGATGGTTCCTACTGAGGTGGGATCACTGCTGGAGGGGTAGCAGAGAGGTTATGTACAATTTCCAGCGAGATGAGCTGACCGAATCTGAGATCAATTGCCCGCTCTGATAAGGTGAGGTTGATGCCTATTGAAAAAGAAGATGAAGAGCTACAACACTTCAAGGCTCGTGATTGGTCGAGTTCAGGCTTTCCAACAATTTTCTAACATAAGAGAGATTAGAGTTTGTTTGGTTGCATACATTTAAAAAAAATGCATGGCATTCTATTTACATGAAGAAATTTGGTTGGTGAAATGACTTTTTCACTTTGGTTATCCACTGGAATAAGGTGGTTAGACTTCTTTTTCGATGAAAGATTTAATTATCTCATGCAATGCTTCACAATTGCATCAAAATAATCTCATTTTTATGCAACAATAGAAACAAAAGCTGCACTATTCTACAGCTGTTCAGCTATTGCCTTGAAATTGAATAGGAGAAGTACAGTGTACATGCAATCGACCAAGACAACCAAACCAAACAACAAAAGTTTCTAGCCACTCCCAGGGACTCAGAATAAATCATCAGTATCAAAAGGGCTTTTACAACAAACCCAAAAAATGCCTTTATCCATAATTCCAAACTCTTAGCTGTATTGCAGAAAGAGCGACCAAAATTAAAATTTCTACACAAAATTCTAGGCAAAAAAACATTTTGTAAAAGGATGATGTGACTACAGACCAAAGTAGAAGAAAATTTTTGATGGAATAATGATTAAGAATAAACACAAGTATCAACAACTAAGTCACTCAAATAATAATTCAATTCAAAAAGTTCATTGAAAATCAACTCTCTCACAAAATCAAATGCATACAAACCGATGAAGGATCCAAATTCTTAAATTCTAAACTCTGGTCATTTCTCCAACATAGTGGCATACACCAACAAATATCATGTCCCTATACCCCAGAGCAAAATGGGACAGCATAACGTAAAAACAGACATATTATTGAAATAACCAGAACATTATTACATACAGCACATCTTCCATATCATTTCTAGCCTGATGCAGCCCTCTTGGCTGCCATCTCATCAATAGAATGCCTTCAGTAACTCTACAAAACAAATCACCATCTCAGCTCCTATACAACCAAAATCCAACCTACTCACACCTCAAATCATGTGGGTGTGCTTGCTATCCCTGGCTACCACCTTCTCAGCGCCACAAGCTTGCCCCCCGAGCTCCACAGTGCCTTTTCCTAGGCTATTATGAATCCTACAAAGGCTACAAATGCCTCAATTTATCCACCAACAAAATTATTATATCAAGGCATGTTATTTTTGATGAAGAATCATTCCCTCTCTCTACACCATCACACTCCTTACCCCCTCAGTCCACATCGCCTTTCTCCACAGCCAACCCATCTCTTCTCATCCCAAAATCCACTCTACCACACCAACCTCCCACTATAAACCCAAATGTCCAAACGTTTTCTACATCCAGCTCTACAAACTCTACCTCTTCCCAGCCACAACCTTCCTCTTCTCCTACTACTACAAACCTTCCCACCACTTCCAATGCCCCGATACCACACCCCATGATTACCCGTCTCAAAACAGACTCTCTCAAACCGCGTACACTACTTAACCTTCTCCATAAGTACAGCTCCATTCTCAAGCCACTCATTTCGATCCAAGTACCTATTCAGAAGTTGTTAAAGCTCCACACTGGCGTGAAGCCATGGCCCTTCGTCCGGGACGATCTGAATGGATATATATCGGATTGAGATATTTTGAATCATTTGAAGAGAGAGAAAGAGAAGGAAAAGGAAGGAAAAACTTATTTTTGGAGGCCGCGGAGTGCTTTTCGTCCGACGCCGCAGTTGGAAGAATTGTTCGTCTCGCAGTAAGGAATCCGAATCCTATTTCTGATTTCGAAGATTTTGAGTTTTGGTATTTTTCTGCTCAGTTTTATGTTTCCGTTACCGAAAAACTCGCATGACTTTGTGTGGACGAAACTTTTACCGCGTAACTTTTGGTATGTTTTTGAGATGGTGATTCTGCATATTTTGAGTATTTTCTGAAAAGTTTTCACCGGATATTTTGAGTTCTGTGTGATTTGAATCGAATATAAAATAATCTGGCTGTTGAAAATTATTGCTTTAGTACAAGTAAAGTTTTGAAACATTATTTTACACAATTTCTAGTAATTTGGTAATTTTCTGAAACTGTGCATTTTACGACTTCTGTCTACTATACGATATTTAAGGAATTTTCTAGGTTGAGCTAAATCATGTTTTACTGTTGCAATGTATTGATGAGATGCTGATGAATGTGATTATATGATTGAAAGCACTGTTATATTACTGTGATACTACTGTGTGTGTGAAAGACAAGTAAAAACTGGTTGAACCGTTGGTTGGAGACATGATACCTGTACAGGATGGTGGGCCAACGGGCTTTCCTTTAAATAATGGTTTGGTGTTATCCTCTACTGATCACATGATTACTGAAGGGAGTCATAAGGAGATGAATACTGTGCCGACGGACAAAGAGTGACGACTTTTTTTACTGAGCCAACGGATATAAGATACAAGATGCAAGATATTGATACAAGACTGAAAAACACCTTAATAGCCAGTACTTCTACTTGCTCTGTATGATTATTGTACTGAATTACATGTTTAGCAGTATTGTTACTGCTATTGACGGATTTATTGTTATTGTGCGGATTTATCGTCACTGTACGGATTTACTGTTAATGCATGATTTCACTGTTATAGCCTTACTGTTCATGTCACTGGACTGTTACTAATACTGGCACTGATATTACTGATTCACTGTACTGACATTATGCACATGATATAGATTATTGGATTGCATGTGATGCACTGAGCACGTGAAATTGGATAACTGAATTGCAAATGACGATTCTACAGCATTGACTGATTTCAATTGTTTTAAATGTTATTATGATTTATTGACTGATTTGACTGATTTGATATTTATTAATGATATGAGGATTTCTTTAATGATATAGATTTGATAATTTCTATAGAGATTTGATGCAAGTACTGATTTATTGAGCTTTACGGACCTTTAAATTGTTTACTGATTCTTCTACTGTCGATTGAGGATTTTACCGTTTCTTATTGATACTATTTACGCATTGACTATCGTTATTGTACTGATTACTGTTCATACATTGATTTTTGTTATCTGCATCGATACTGTTTCTGTACTGATTTTCGTATCTGCATTGATTCAATGATCATGTGTAACTGACTGCTATGATTTGACTGATTGACATGCATACTGTTTCCGTACCGTGCTTTGATTTCCGTTGTAGGTTTTAGGTGACCTGCTAGGCTTTTTGAAGCTCATTATACGTGGTTAAGAATTTTAAGTCAGAACAAGGGAGCAGGAAGTGATGGTTGATCAAGACTGTCGACGAATCCTTTCACTATGGATGCCTAGGTTGTCACACAACCTTCCTCTTCTCCTACTACTACAAACCTTCCCACCACTTCCAATGCCCCAATACCTCACCCCATGATTACCCGTCTCAAAACAGACTCTCTCAAACCCCATACGCTACTTAACCTTCTCCATAAGTTACAGCTCCCTCCTCAAGCCACTCATTTCGATCCAAGTACCTATTCAGAAGCTATTAAAGCTCCAAGCTGGCGTGAAGCCATGGCCCTTGAGTTTCTAGCTCTACAACAACAAGGGACATGGACACTTGTACATTCTCCTCCCAAGGCCAATGTTCTTGGATGTTGTTGGACATATCACACCAAATATCACTCGAATGGAAACATTGCTCGTCACAAAGCACGTATTGTGGCCCAAGGTCATCGTCAAGAACATGCCCTTGACTATCATGACACCTTTAGTCCGGTAGCCAAAATGCCGACTATTCGAGTCTTTCTTCTTATAGCTCTCCATAAAAAATGTCCAATACATCAAATGGATGTCGCTAATGCATTTCTCCACGGAGACTTACATGAAACAGTCTACATGACTCAGCCTAGAGGTTTTGAGGACAAACTCCATCCCACTCATGTTTGTCTCCTAAAAAAGGTCATTTATGGCCTCAAGCAAGCTCCACGACAATGGTTCCATAAACTCTCCACAATCTCCTCTCTCAAGGTTTCAACCATAGTTAATCAGATCAATCTCTCTTTCCCTTCTCTAAAACCGGCATCCAAATTTGTCTTCTAATCTACGTTGATGACATTCTACCATCAAGTAGTAACCCGAAAGCTTCCTCAACTCTTATACATAAACTCATTCAACAATTTACTATGAAATACCTAGGAACAACCCATAACTTCCAAGGTATTCAAATCCAAACTACCACCAGCTCCTACTTTCTTTCTCAAACTAACTATGTCAAGACAATTCTTCAACAAGTTGGACTCACTTCCTGCAAACTGATTTCCAATCCCAACTCTACCAAACCCACCATTGATACCTTCTCTAATCCCATTCTCAACAATACTCTCATCTACAAACAACTTACCGGATCCCTTCAATACCTCACCATCACTAGACCCGACATAGCCTACTCGGTTAATGTTCTATGCCAACATATGCATGCTCCACAACAGGTGCATTTCCACCACCTAAAATAGTTGTTATGTTATATTCAAGGAACCTCTCATTTTAGTTTTCCCATATGCACCAGCACACTCCACCTTATGTCTATGTCTGATGCGGATTGGGCAAGTGATCCAATCACCAGAAGGTCTATATCTAGTTATTGTTCGTTCCTAGGATCCACACTTATTTCCTGGAATGTCAAGAAACAGCATACGATAGCTCGATCATCGACGAATGCTGAGTACCGAGCTATTGTAGCTGCTACTGCGGATATTATCTAGCTTCACAGATTATTAAATGACTTCAACATTCCCACGGCTACACCAACCACACTCTACTGCGATAACATGTCAACTATAGCCATTGCAAACAATCTGATGCTTCATGCTAGGACAAAATACATTGAAATTGATCACCATTTCATCCAGGCTCACATTCAAGCTAAGCATATCAGACTCAGTCCAATCAGTATCGTGGACCAACTTGCGGAAATCTTCACCAAGCCTCTCTCCACCAAAAGGTTTCAATAGTTGCGCTCCAAATTGACGGTTCAACCTGACCCATCACTTTGCGAGGAACTATTAGCACACCTCTCCACTATCACACCCACACACTCTGACAACAACAAATACCTCACCTATTCACCGTCCATTTATAGCAAACCAAATAGTATACCAGCCCTACACGTGTAATCACATAGCCTATATATGAGCACTGTTGTAAACAATGCATTTACTATGGAATGATGAAGAGGTTATCTGCTATTTACCGTCACTATTATTTCTCTGCTTTGATATTGATTTCAGGTCTGTAGTAGAGCAAAGCCTGCATTTCTTCAATTACCACAAAGCATAAAAGAGAGCAATAACTTGCAGAGCGAGGATCTTTCAAATTAATCAGAACTTAATTCAGATGCTTCCATTCTTATGCATAAATCTTGGCCAACATCAATAAACAGCCTAAGATCAAGGAGAAAAAATCGTTACTTTCACGGCAAGCTCCCGAGCTTGGTTCGAACGCGACAGGGAGGACGGTTGGGCGAAGTTGTGGCAAGCATCAGGCGAAGATGCTGCTGCAGCGATTCTTTCAAAACTCTTTTTCACGCGAAGCGAGGGAAGCGAGGAGGGCAAGCCGGGGACGAGCTTGGTTGGAACGCGACAGGGAGGAGGGTTGGGAGCGGGAGCGTCTGGGTTCCTGGGTTGGACTGGTGCGAATGGGAATACCAAAGGGGTTGTATTGGGAGCGAGAATACGAAGGGCCGCCAGCTGTACGATTAAGATTTTATTAAAAAATATATAAGTGTAATTTAAATGGTTACGATTTAGTTTGAAAATAATTAGAACTTATACTTTATAATAGCATTAGATATAGATTTTGAAAGTATGATTAAATGATTGATTTGATTAACTGAAAATTAATAACGCTAATTACATAATTTTTACATAAAAAAGTAGTTAACAATAGAATAATTTGAATATGCATATAATCATAACTCTTTTTAGCAACTCAAATTAGTATGTTGGTTGGGAGCTTTATGTTACGGAGAGATCTGCTTAAGTTTTCTGTGCGGCCTTAGCACTACTCCATAGTGCTAAGCAGCCTTAAAACCATACAATGTTCGGCTAGAATAAGAAAGCTTTTACTATTATAAGGAAATTTATACAAGAGGATAATTGGAGGGGGTTTGAGGAGATGGTTACAAATGAGGGGGAGGGGTTCTATTTATAACCCTCCGCTCATGCCTAAGAACATTCTAGAATTTCATCCATTATACACATGTGTGGAGTCCTTTAGAAGACTTCACATTCTTTCATATACAATTACATAATTCTATTATATTCTGGAGAGTCATGGAATTTTTTCAGAATACCATCCAAGCATTCATACCATTCTAGAACATAATAGAGCATTCTATAATCTTCTAAAACAAACTCCTTGCATATATGCAACCTTTCAAAATCTTCTAGGATCTCCTAGAATCTTCTATAGCATTCTAGATTCTCTTATAACTTTCTAGAATCTTCTAAAACCTTTCAAAGTCTTTCATAACCTTCCAATTTCGTGTGAAGACATCTCAAAATGGTTTTGAAGGACTCTTTGGCCTTCACAAAATATGCACGTCTAAGAGGTTTAGCCAAACCTCTAGTCCCAAGTTTTAGGCATGACATTTTGTTATTATAATCAAATTGTCTTGAATTTTGGCCTTGCATATCCGATGTGTGTGTAAGTTTGCTTTAATTGACCTAAATGTCTGGAAAAAAAAAAAAGAATCATAACTCTTCTATCAAATAATGAGTCCAATTAAATGAGTCATATGACAGTATAATATGTCACTTATTTAAACCATCATAACTCTCGATGAGCTAAACTTGTAGGGCGGTTAGTGAGCTGAGCAAACCAATGAACAAATTTGATTTATGTTCATTAAATGGTTATTTAAAAACATAAAACAGTTTTAGAAGGGTTAGGTTTAGTTTGGGACAGTTTTTTTACTGCTTTCTAAAACAACTTTTTAAGAAAAAAAAAACTTCCTGAACTAAAAAATTGTGTACAAACAAAATCTATTTAAAAACAAAGAGTAATAAAGTAGTCTCAAATGATGCCTTAGGCTTCGTTTGGGATGACTTTTTTGACGCTTTTTAAAACGGAGTTTTAGTACAAAAATAAAAAAATTTGTACTTAAACTCCGTTTTAGAAAGCAATAAAAAAGTCGTCCCAAACGAAACATTAATCTTCACTCCAGGAATGGACTTGCACCACATCCATATTTGCCTGTAGATTCACTCATTGCTGCCAGGAAGCAAAAGCACACACTAAAAACTCTTAACTTTCTTTGTTTAAAAATCAATAATTAGATCTGCATTATGGTTATATCATATTCAACTTTGCATGTTTAATGAAGACATTCCATTCAAAAAAGATCAGACCGACCGTCATTTTCAATTGAAGCGTGAGTATAAAGCCAAAAGTATCAATTACTTAAAAGTTTAACTTTATTTTCATAAAGAGCTCTTCTCCGTTTCTATTTGATTAGAAACAGATAAGCGAATCAAAACCACACTTAACTAAGCTACATTGGATAACTATAATTTAATCAATTTGTTAACACTTAATTGTTTCCTTAATCATCAGCTATGCTTCAGTCGGGTCTGATTTTGCTTTGTTTTTAAACGGTCATAATTAAGAACCTTAATCACTGATTCGTATAATTATGATTTATATAGACAAATTGTGAATAGTGATCAAAATTTTAATTTTTTATTAAAAACTTATTTTAAGAGGCGGTAAGAAAGCCATCTCAAATGAAATCATAATTTACAATAAATATAATACATGAATAATCAATTAAAATTTGTATTCTATACTTAAAAAAAATTATCATAATAAAAAATTAATCAAAATATTCTGAACTAATTTTTTCCCTTGCAAAAAGATCAGATGTAGATGCTACAATGCAGGCATAAAGAAGTAGGAGCCTTAAAGAATCTTAGGCATAACTCTTTCATATAAATCAATAAACTTATGGGTATATATTACAACAACAGTAACAAAAATATAAACTAAATCTCAAATAATCTATACAAAACAGTACACCATGCTCTACTACTACAAAGATATGAAAATAGCACAAAAGCTACAGAAAAACTTAAAGCTTTTTTTTGAAACAGCTTTCTTAATGATTCTTAAAATAGCTTTTTAATAAAAAAAATTTTGAGAAGCAGTAAGACATCAGTCCCAAACGAAGCCTTACTTTCTCCAGCCAAGAAATCTCTTGTTTATTAGTTTAATCTTACTTCAAACACCCTAACACAGTGATCTCCACCACAAGAAGCAAGCTGCATGGTTTTTGAATCCCCAGCATCATCAGAACTCCAAGCCAAACGGTGGACCGTCGATACGTGGCATAGGTAAGGATCGAACCGCAATGCGACAACAGTATTGAATGGTAGCCATGGATTTACCCCACCAGAAACATTCCAGAGCTCGATCAGACCATCGTCCATGCCGACAGCAAGGATTCCAGTATTTGAGGACCGATCTCGACCAAGCCAAGATAAGACTGTAACACTTTCCTTGAAGTTTGGCAAGCTTGTAATCTGCTTGACAGAAGAAGAGGTAGAGTTGTTAACTCCCCAGATCTTGACAGTTTTGTCCCTTGACCCAGTTGCAAATTGGTGGCAGAAAGGGTTCCATGAACAAGCCCATATTATTCTTTTGTGTGCTTCTTGTTTTGTAATCAGTCGATGGCTTATTTCATCTCCTATAGCAAGAAATTTCAAAGCTAAGTGATTTCAACGAGTATTTCATGAAAAGTAATAATAATCTGAAAAAAGGGGATCAGGTATTACCATGTGACTGATCACCTCGAATAGTGCAGATTGTGCTCTTGTTCGATTACTAAAAATTATGATTGTTTAGAACAGAGATGCCTAGTTAATAAAGTTCGGATTATAGCAAAAACAATTTGCAACCAAACAAAAAGAAGGCACTGGATTGTTTGTGATTGTATATAGTACGAATCAACTATCCAAAATAAGAATTGTAATCTGCGTGAATAAGCATATTAGAATTTAAGATTGAATGACCTTGCATCCAAATTGGTTTGTGAAACAGTTAGACTGGTCCAATCAGCCGGTCCAACGGGACCGGCTTACGCGAACAAAGACGGAAATGTCCGCCTCCTATACGCGCCAAATGCACACCCGGGAGTGCGTGAGCCGTTTAGGAAGGATTTTTTAGGGAGTTAGGAGGGAAATTTGAATGTAGGGACTGTTTAGGGATTTCCTTTTGATTTGTATGCATTAAATAGTTTGTTTTCCTAGGGTTAGGGCATCTTGAATTTGGCTGAAATTTGAGATCTCATAGTTTTCTTTAGGCTCCAGCAGCGTCTAGAGATTTGGGAGAGATAGATCCTCCTCTCGAATAGAGAATCAATTGTATCTTGGTATTTTCCGTTTCTATTTCATCAAACAATACAAATTATCTACTGTTTTCGTGATTTTGTGTGGAGAATTTTGCTATTTCCCAAAGATTGATAGGAAATACTTGAGATCTACAAGTGTTTCCCATCAGAAACTTGCACAAAATCTTAATAAATGTGTGGATTATCTTTTTGTTGTTTTGAAATATTGAGACATTTTGTTTTGAGAGATGAAGTAATTCTTTGAATTATCATTGTCAAAATAATTCTATCATGTTCTATTCTACTTTCAAAACCATGATTAAAATATTCATTACACATGCACCAACCAAGCAAGGAGGAAATGAGTAGATGTTCCAAGATTCTGTTTGAGCCAGGCATTACAGTGCTATAAGATAACAAGGAAATAGAGGAAGATGGAAAGAAAGCCATTTTCTTCCTGATTAATGATGGAAATGAGAATATGTACCAGATTTCTCGATTGCAAATACAGAGAACTGCCGATCCCTTGAAACAGCCAAGAGGAAAGAATCATCATGGGAAAATTCAATTTTCGTTACTGTCAGACTATGAGACTGTAGACGGCCAACTGCCTTCCATGATCCAACTTCCCATAACCATATTTCTGCAACTGCTACTGACTGTGCCTGCAGGAGGGAATAATTGAAACTATTAATAATAGATTAAAGTTTCAGCAAATACAAACCGCATTTGGCATAATTATGAAGATATTTAACCATTTATTTGAAAATATCCATGCAGGCGTAGAATCTTAAAAGTAATTAATAAGAAAAAGGTTGCTGCCACCATTTTTGTTTACAACAACCCCACAGTTCACAGGAGCTTCATGAACATCATGCTTATATTTTAAAAAATTTAAGCAACATATCTCCATTGTGATACTTCGATGAAAAGTCGGTATACAATACATCACCAAAAAAAAAAGGGGAAGAAAACAAGATATTTGAGTCCTTCAGGGTCAGGAGTTACTACCTGATGAAGGCGCTCTACTTTTGCACCTGAAGTTTATACAGGTGAGTATCAGAAAAGGAAGCATCTTAAGGTAGCCCCCTTTGCAAAAGAACAATAAATTACATAATATGTGACTTCATAGCTTTCTTAGAGCATCAACAATTAGCTTCCAAGTCTTTAAGCATTTTTGAAATCATCCAGCAGAGGGGAGGCATCTATATCATCTTCACCAAGTCTAGAATCACATGAGGCTAGGGGTATAAATGAGCCCAGTTGGCTCGACCTCTACTTGCTAATGAGCTAGCGAGTCGAGCTCATTAAACCGTGAGATCAAGCTTGAGCTTGAGTTTAGATTATAGCTCGTAAATAATACGAGATTGAGTTCGAGCTTGACAAGACTCAACTCGTTGGCTTGTGAGCCAGCACGATTACAATAATGAATCTTGTTTCTTGTTGTTCAAGTTCGGGTATTTAGCTAAATTAAATTAAAAGCCATTAAGTCACACAAACTACTCTTATTTTCCATACGCCAGTAATCCCACATAAGCCTTTTGAAGTGAGCTTGTATATCAATGATCTCCAAATGGAACAAATCTCATCGAAGGCTTTCCTGATGAGCTTGTGTCATGATTTTTTTTTCTCTAAACCCGCTGATCCCATTGAAGCCTTCTCTAGCAAACTCCCATCGCGACTTCCTTAACATTGTAATTTTCTCAATGAGCTCCCTTCACGACTTGATCGCCACCATCAATACCTTTTGTAGTAGTGCGTTCCCAACACAACTTAATCGCTCCACCAATGTTAGCAATTTAAGTAATTCGCAACTTCCTCGCTTCTCGTATTGATTCCTATCAATGTAAGCGAGCTACTATCACGAGGGTTTTCAAATTTGGGGAACTCAACCTCATAGTCTAGCATGCATTTGCTTTTAATTCAATGGGCTGAGTTCGAGCTCAATATATGAATATACCCTAAAGTTATAATTTTATTTTGATTAAACCTTAATTAGGAAAAGAGCTCAAAGTGAATTTTCCATAGAATTTAAAGAAAGCATTTTTATGTCGAGGTCCTTGTGACTTGTGCTTTTGGAAACTTGGGTATGGAAAGCAACATCCCTATTTTTATACCTTCTTTTTTCATTGTGGCATGGTTTGTATTTCCTAACACTTTCTAATATTGTAGTTTACAATTTTGCCCATGATTGCAGCTTCTTTGTTCACGCTATTCTTGGTTCCATCACCTCCACAGGCTCCCATTCCATTGATCTCGCTATGAACACCTTTACTTGCCCCTCTTTTTATTCTACCAATCCCAATGTTATCGCCTCTCTGACTTCAAATTTTGGCTTTGGTAGTTCCCCATTGGTGCTGTGAAAAGATGCATTGAAATATGTTATATTAAACTAGATCTAAGCAGATTCTATGAATATTCTTATTTTTAGTTCTTTAGGTAATTAAGACCCTTGAGATAAGTAAAAAATCATCGAATGTTGAGGACTGCAATAAAAATTCTAACTTTCTTCGAGTCTTGTGTGCTGATTGAATATATATTATTTGAGTGTTCATGGGTGTTTATGACTACTTTTAGAGGCGAGCCTCCTTGTATTAGCATAAATCATGATTCTTCCTTTGGGTGATTTATTTTCTTATACTTGTTTTAATTTATTTAGTCGCTAGGTTGTGTGTGAGATACCTGCCAGATTCCTTTTCATAATGTAAAACTTGATTGTTGCAAAAAAATTTGTATTCACTCATTACTTTTTTTTTTTTCACAATTTCAGATCTTGATAATTAAAAAATTATCATTTGCAATGAATGATGTGTGCTATTTTTAATTAAAAAAAAGCCATTTTTGTTAAAGTTACTAGTTGATAAACTAAGTGATTTTTTATATATTTTTATTGTGTATCTTATCCTATTTACATTAATAACTCTAGAACCTTAATGGTATTACATCATCTCTCATGAAAAACCAAAGGCCTTTGTTTCATGAGACCAAAGGCCTTTGTTTCAAAAACTTGGGAAACCTTTTATTTTTTTTCTATCAAAAAACGCTAACACGACTTAATTCAATTTCGTAAATTAAATACGAAATTCACCATTCAATTCACTTAAAGCAGAAAATAAATCTAGTTCCTAGTTCAATATTTATACAGGACATTTTAATATCCTCCACTCAAATTTGGACAAATCTTGAGAAATTTTCATCATGCACCATATTTCATGTATGGCCGATTAGTTCCCCCAAAATTATTTAAAGCCCATCATAACGTAGCACTGAATGTTAAAATCATAAAAGTAACCTTCATGAAGGTGATCATTCAATTTTTTTTACTCGGCGTGCAAGGGATTTCCAATGGAACAACAGCTCATCATTTCATCATAAGATGTTATAGAGCCTAAATAACAAGCAGGTGAGAAGCTATGTTGCACCGATACGGATACGGCGACACGGATACGACACAATATGGATATGCGTGTCCTTTTGAAATTAAATAGTATTTTAATTGGATACGGCAAAGCCGTATCCGACACATATCGGTGCCGTATTGGAGGCGTATCCGTGTATAGGTGTATCGGATACAACACGCCTTCATAAATAGGCTTATCGGTGCAACATAGGTGAGATGAGATTAGTATTTACTACGGAAAAGTTATTCAAATATGTATGACACTGAATAATATGAATCTTTTACCTTGCATGATGAAGCAACAAGCTTCCCCTCATGGTCACAGCAAAGTGAGAATAGCTCATTACCATGGCCATAAAGTTTGTGAGATTCGGGCCAAAGTGTGTGCCAGGCTAGTTGTTCTTCAACAGGAGGTTCTTTCAAGACAACTGGCATGGCATCTGGAATTGTTTCCAAAGAATCTAGGACCTCCTCCTTCACCCTGTTGGAGGCCTCACTTACAGCTGCATTCAATGATACTTACAATAAGTACCAGCCTAATTAATCACAGAACAGAAGCAAATGAAAAACATACACTTGAAATAAAAGTGTATAATGACATAAAAATCAAGAGAGAATATTTTAATGCTTTTGTGTGTGTTGATGTATATAAGCATGGATAAGAAAAGCTCTACTCCTTGGCCGGAAATGACTTGAGTTAGATCGATGTGACTAGAAGCTCTACTTTCTCCTTCATTGGATTTTTACAATAAAGACTCCCCAATAAGAAACAAAACCATGGATTGACGTCAGCAGAGGCGACGACACAGTGACGGAAAAGGAAATGCGAGCTGCAGGAACTGGCAGCCCACCCATAACCCAAGAACTGACAGCCCACGCATAACTCAGCTCTGGCGTCATAGAACTTGATCAACAATTACATTTTTTGATGGTTTGGTAAGGTCTCGAGAATAGGAAGAAGACAAGTGGCATGCAAGTAATACAGCCAAGAAGATTGGTTGATTTGCCGCATGTTTGAAAATAATGAAAATTAATTTTAATCCAAATAAATTGAGCACGCCTAAAATTCATTAGATTTAAGTTTCTAGTGAGATAAAAATTAAGAAATTTGATAAGTCACAATCTGAACCATTTATTGATGAATATTCTGACAAACCTTAATTGGCTGAATTACAATGGATCTCAACAATTTTGGTCATCAGATGCCTACTAGATGAAGATAAACAACCTTGATTTATAATTTGGAAGATTGGAGACTTCGGTAATCAGAAAAGAAGGATTGAAAGGAATAAAATAGCTTCCACTCAAGTGGACTACAGGCTTGCTCAAAAATTGGATGTCTACTTAAATGACATTAATATGTAGGATAGAAATGTTGCTAGTTGATTCTGATATAATTTTTTTCTTATTTATTATTGTGTTGCAAGTGGCAATTCTGGATTGAGATCAGTTTTTAAAGGTCATTTGAGCCTACCTTGCGCATATATAGGTTTCTGTGAAAGCCCAAGAGCAGACATATTTGCACCTAGGATCTTCACATCTTGTGGATTCTCGAAGCTGGATTTTTGGAAAACAGCATGGTTAAGAGTCTTCAAAAATGATAGAGGAGCTTCAAATACTCTTGCAACTTTTTCTTCGGCTCCACTAACAAATTTGTGGTTCCCAGCCCCCTTTATAATGGTCACACAATTGATGTCATGCCCATGAACTTGTGGCCGTGCTATTTCATGCCAAGGAACCCTAGTCCCAAGGCTTAGTTCATCTCTCCATGTTGAAAAAACTCGAGTTGTCTGTAACAAAAGACTAAGAACTTAGTTAAACAAACTCTCAAATAAGCTATAAGAAAAGCAACCAATAAATCCATTATCACAATCAGAAAAAGCATGAGACATAGCATGCATAGTAAATCTCGTTAAAGGTTAGGTGAATTTTTTTCAATCAGCTTGCACAGAAAGATTTGATATAACTAGCTTTGGATGTCCAATTTACGTTATAAGAGAAGACATCTCCAATCTGATTGTTTTACATCAAATACAGATTAAAATATTATAATTACTGTAAGCTTGAGTTTTCAATGAAAACAAAATTATACATTAACTATCAAGACATATCAAATAAATGATTCTAAATCCCAAATGATAGGTTATGATCAAAAAATGCCATAAAATACTGTTAGTTACCAGAGCCCTGCATTGGGCACCCATACCCAAACCCACCCAACTACCCACCCATACCCAATGGGTATGGGTATGCTCATAGACTTATGGGTGGGTATGGGTGGGTATTCAATATGGTGGATAAACCCTCAAGGAGATCATCCAGCCCATCTTCGAGGAGAAGTTCATGCTCCATCCCATCCATGTCATTACGATGATGCTCGACCTGATCATGAAGATGCATTTGCATGGGTTGGGCATCAATGTTGATCAGATTGACGAGGCCAAGGAGAACTTGAAGGCATACATGATCAAGTACGGCCATGGCCTTAACTTAGTTGTCGATGAAGATGATGATGATGGCATAATTGTTCTACCGATAGAATGATGACTTATGCGGCTTATTAACACGTTAGTCCAATGCACCGCAAGCTTCATATAACATATTTTGCTGCACTTTAACAACTTGTCCCCTACATCATTATATAAAAACCATTTATTTTGTATTACAGGCATTTGGGAAATATGAAAATACATTTATTATGTTATTGCCTTCTACCTTTCAATTCTTTACAGGATTTCTTTTACGTCTAAGGTCAAGCAATGCATGGGTATGGGTGGGTACTTCATCTTGAAAAATATTATGAGTGGGGGTGGGTGGGCAAAGCCAGCTCGCACAGAGCATGGGTACCCAATGGGTACTCGACCAGGACCCTGTGTAGGGCTCTGTTAGTTACAGATGCATAAAGGTTAGCCAGCGATGAGATGGGAGGTAATGAGAGAATACTTCAGAAAGGAAATTACCGTAAAAGAAATCTCCCTTTTGAACAAAACAAATTATAATGAAGATTACCATATAAACCAAGAAAAATCATATGTTGTATAAACCAAAACAGTGTAGGCATAAGGCTGTTTATTTTGCTTATCGAAAACTTTAGCTTCCCCAAACAGAAATTTTACCGCAGTAATAAAGAAAACAATGATTAAACTAGACCATCAAATGCACGTAATTTGTCTTTGCATCTTTGATAGAACTGGAGAAAGAATTATGCTAGAGACGAGATACAAGAAAGAGTAAGGCAATAAAAGGAAACTGTTAACAACTTCAACATATTTGAATCGTATCAATAAGAACATTTACCTGGTCATTACTAACTGAGAGTACATATTCACCAGATTTGGACCAGGCGATGTCGCACACAGCGGCAAAATGACCCGAAGGAACTTTATGTGGCTTCCAATTTTCACAATCTAAACCAACATTTTTCCACAAATAAAATGATCCACCATATCCATGAGCAAGAATTGATTCACCATCTGGTGCCCAGTGCCCACCATAAAACCCCAACGCTGAGTGACTCAATTCACCAACAGTCACTATATTAACCCAAATACCAGTGATTTTCTCAGGTTTCCAGATCATCATTGTCTTGTCCATAGATGCAGACAAGATACTCAAAGGTTGGTAGCACTCAACCCCATTTGAAGTTGCAGATAAAGGAGGCTGCCACATAACTGAATATACCCAGTCTTCATGTCCCACAAGAAGTGATTCTAGTGACACCTGATAGGACATATTCCCTGCCAAAAATAGAGGTCCTTCAATAAAAGAGGTCAAACCTATATCTTCCTTGCGATATGGCACCTCAGAATAAGATGAAGAACCACGCAAGGAAAGCTTCCATATTCGTATTGTTTTGTCCTGAGATGAACTCACAAGCAATAAGCTCTTCTTCCCACCATCCAAACAAATTGGTAATGAAAAATCTAAACTTCTAATCCAGTCCATGTGGGCTTTCAGCTCGCAAGAATGCACAAACTGCATACACCAATTCAATATTAGAAGAGTGAAAATGAGGATTATTAAGGCTTCGTTTGCGACGGCTTTTTTATTGCTTCTTAAAATGGAATTTTAGTACAAAAATTAAAAATTTTTAACTAAAACTATGTTTAAAGAAGCAATAAAAAAGTCGTCTCAAACAAAGCCTAAGGCAAGAATAACACTTCACAGGCCTTTCCCTTATGACCACCACAATAAAGATGGATCTTGTTGTCTAAGCCACCAGTTGCTAAAACTATATTTTCTTCATCATCTGGGAGTTTTGCCAAGGACAATGCAACCACTGGTTTTAAGCCCACTGAGAGGGATTGCAAGCATGAAATTTTGCATTCATCTGTTATAAAATGAAAAATATTTAACATATATGTAGCTATATGAAAAAGAGACAGAATTATAATGAGTAATAATAAACAATGACCTGGTATTACAGTAAAAATATTTACAAGAATTTTCTCCAAAGAAATAAAGAACAATCACTAACACTGCCAACATGTTTTAAGGCATCACAAGTGAATTAGAAGCAAATTTTATGCTCAATGCGATCCTTTATCATCACAAGCCTTTTCTCAATTATTTGAAGCCAGCTTTATGAATCCTACTTTCCATTCAATTTTGCTGAAATATTACTTCGATTTATGCAGGTCTTCAACGCAACTTTAAGCCGCATAATATTTCATCCCTCAGTTTTGCTTCTTGACACCCATTAATTGTGGTTGGCTTTAGGAATCCTATTCCTTTCCCTTAATTTCATATAGAATCATTGAATAAACAACTGGACTTCATTCTCCAATTGTTAAACTAAATTTTCTGCATTGTCTGGCAGCTTTTTGTCAAGGAAAATGCAACTAACGATTTTAAACCCACAGAGAATGAGAGATTCCAAGCATGGAATTTTACAAGAATTTCCACAGAAGAATGAGTAATCAATGAGCCAATTACCGCCTGACTGTTTAGTCTTTAGATCTAACATGTGGTGCATGCTTATGTTCAATATAATCATCATCATCAGCCTTTTCCCAACAATTTGCCATCAGTTTTGTGACTCCATTCTTTTTTATAATGGGTTACATAAAGTGTTAACTGTTAACCCTAGTTTATACAAATATTTTTGCATAATTTTAGGCTCATAACTTTTTCTTTATTTTCCATAATTTAAATTTTATCTACATGCCTTATCAATGCATCTTCTAAATCAATTACATAGTACCTACATGTGAAGTCATTACAAGTGACTCGTAATGCAAATTCATGAATCATGTTCAATATGCTCATCATCGCCATCATCATCATAATTAGTTTTATCCAATTTATTTGGGGTTAGAATTAAAAATCTTATTTTCCATGTTTTTGTTGAGTGCTACATAAAATGTTGATTCTAGTTCATGCAAGTCTTTCTGCACAACTTCCAAATTTTGGTCTATCGCTTTTCCTTGACATTTACTGCACCATAATGCTAAAAGCCTTATTGAGGCCTTCTTTCCTTCAATATCAAATGCCTAAAATACTGTCAAGTGGAACTATCTGACCCATGATTGTTGAGCCCAACCCTATAAAAGCCCTAGCAGACTAATCATGATGGGTTTAAGCTTAACTGAGATAACCATTGAGGCTCAAAGCTTGACAATATGTAAAAGGCTAAAACGCCATTGAGTAATGAATCATAGAGTTTGTTCAATAAAAGCACATTGTACCCTATTACCTAAGATTGACTTGAATTTGTCCCCTTAGATAAGCATTCACCTTAAGTCTATAAGATTCCATTTGATGAAGCGACTCATAGCGACCAACAAGAATCTTTTGATCAGGTTAAGTTGACTGCCTCCTCTAATTAAGTGGACTAAGGATCATGACAACCCGAGAGGACAAAACCATGAGATTTTAATTGGGTTTATCACCACCACTACCAACCCCAACAAAAAAAACCACTTAAGTTTAAGGCGGTAAAATTCTCAATCCTAAATCAATTTGTCACTATTATGCGCTAAGAAATCAGCTTCTAACGATTAGCCTTAATTAAAAATTCTCTCGCTACTGTGAGTGATATTTTACCATAGCGGTTTGTTCTTATGGGGAATCTAAAACCAAATCATAAAATCCTCACAAAATGAGGTTGCAATCTCTTAGTACTATTTTATCTTCAACTTAATTTGACTTTCAAAAATTTGACCTAGAACCTCATAAACTCTCCCAATAGAGGCTAGGATACAAGTTTTCAGAGTCCACACTTGGAATAGAGTTTGCTTGCATTAACGAGGGAGTTTGAAAGTAAACATATAATTGACCTTTTTTAGGAAACTGGCCTTTATGATTGCAATAAAGTATTGCATGTTAGTTGGTAAATTTATCTTAATATAATCATACTAGATATCTCCTTTGTTGTAGGGGTTGTGAGGTAACACATGAAAACTCTCAAATAGAAACATTAAGATTTTATACTACATATCCTCAAGTATATTAAAGGCACGGGGGAAGTACTGCTATACACTAAGAATAAACAATTTAATGTGAAAGATTTTTCTAATGATGATTGTGTTAGATCAGTCGATAGAAATTTTAGATATGGGTGATGCATATTTGTTTGAGATAAATGGGTCATATGGAGGAGAAAGAAATAAATAGTGTGGTTAGATTAAGAGCTAAGGTAGAATACAGAGTCATGACATACTCTACATATGAAATGATTTGGGTTAAGACCCTCCTAAGAGAATTTTGTCTTTCAACTGCACAACCCATGATTTTCATCTATGATAATGGTACTGTCATCTATAGTGCAAGTAATTCAATGTTTCACAAAATAACCAAACATATTGAGGTTAATTTTTACTTCATTTAAAACGTAGTACTGTCAAAGAAGATCCTTACTCATGATGTTTCCATTTCCGAATAATTGGTATATATATTTACCAAAACTATGTATATTAGTTTCAAAGCTATGTAATAAGTTGGAGCTAATTGATAAATATGCTCCTCCTTGAGGAGTGTTAGCATTAGCATTAACATTTTCGAAAAGTCTACTACTTATGGTTAACGAACTATATTTAATTGATTGTTTATGTCCATTATATTTATTCCCTTATTAAAAATAATACGCTCTCCCACTGAATGAAACACAAAATCTGTCTTTCTACAACTTCTAGCCATAATATCTATTATCCAACTTTTTCTATCCCACTAATTTCACCTTTATTGTATTTACATACATATTGATAAAAATTTTGCACATCACCACACATGCCCAAACCAAGTTTGCTTCCACTATATTATCTTTTCTAGGTAATAGTCTCTCCATATGCATAACACAACAATGTTTGAATGATAAATTATAAATAATCACAATAAAGAAAAATAGTATATGCTGATAAGGAGGAAGGTGTTACCCACTGCATGAGGCTCCTACTAAGGTTAAGGAGAGGTTGAAGGATGCAATTTTACCATAATGTGGAAAAGAAGCTACTTCTCATATTCAAACCATTGACCTCCAGATTATAATACAGAAAACCTAACAATTAAACCTAGGCTAGAGCACAAAAGCTAAATTTATACTACTACTAAAAAGCCACTTTGAATTAGGCCCAGCAATATCTTGACCATGCCAAATTTTATTTTAATCTAAATTCTTAATAGCTGCAGGAATATCATGGACCGATCTTTGTTGATAAATTTCAGATTATATATTTATTTACTTGTTCAAATCTTTTGCTCTTCCTTAAAACCTGGTTGACAATGGAGAGTACAGCTTTCTTAACTGCAGGCATTCAAACAAAAAGCCTTTAAACACTAATACCTTAAGATTAATAGCTAAAATAACTTCACTTCTAATCACTTCCATGTCTATTAATAGAACTTCATATAAGCTATCTGAGAAAGAAGAGTTACAAAAGGAATAGATCTTGCAAGTTAAAAGACATTGTCGCATCGACAAAGATGAGAGGAAACATAGCAACAGTCTGATAGGCTTCCTCAAATATGGCGAAACTTTATTTACCCACAGAAAGGGAAACTCCTTTAGTGGCAGTAAGAGTCCATTCTCTCAGCTCAATCAACTTGTCATAAAAGCTGCTACAGGAACAATGGCATAAGCAGAAGAATAAATTCTGGCAACAGATTAACTTACCATTTATACCTATTGGAAGGACAATTTCCCACAGAGCAATACTCCCATCTGAAGAGGTGGACGCAAATATTCCAATATTTCCAGACAACATTATTCCTGTAAAGCATGTGACACTTCTCTTGTGTATTTCTGGAATTTGCAAGACATGTCTCCACTGCAAAATTAAGTGTGTAGTATTGAACAAATCTATAACAGACGTAAAAGATGAATATTCTGTTAACCATAAAAATCAGTTCATAAAATCCAACATCCAAGTTTGGAAATTATTTAAGAAACCACAAATTGTTATGATAACATTTGACCGAAAAACAAAATTCATGAAATAGTTTCATCAGCATATTTAACATAAACTCAAAAGAAAAAAGGATTTCAATAAAAGTAGTTAATTTAAATAGGACACGAAACGGAGCGTGCGTTGCCTCAACTTACCCTACAGAACAACATTAATAATTGCAAGCATTTTCAACGTGTTGTAAGAGAAAGGAAGACAGAGGGAGAGATGAGGGAGGGGGAGAGGGAGACAACAGGAAGAAATATTGATATAAACTAAGATTGACTTGTATTGTCCTAGTCATTAAGGAGAACCCCACACCCCTCACACTTATGAACTTTGCATCAACAGTAGCAGGCAATCAATTGAGATAAGCAATACACAGAGTAAAAGTAGGATCCAAAAGTTACCGTGATCAGAGCCAACTAGCCTGTGCAATCTTATCTCAAGAAACAAATCATTTTAAACTCATGAGACAAGCTTTTTGTGCTGATATAATCAAGGATTGAAAAATGCACCAAATTACCACGAGACTACAAATTGACTGCTACAGCTGCTGCTTCCAACAAAAAGAGAACTAAGCAAGGGATGCATATGAGTTAGCCGTCTTGAGCCACCCACAATGTGAGCTTGAGTTTAATGAATCAATAGAGCCCAAGATCAAGTCAATGAATTCAAGCCAGTTCATGGGTCAACTCATCTTCTTATGAAAGAGAGATCATGAATGTGGATTTGAAGAGTTAGTGTAACAAGATTAAGAATAAGACAATGGAAGAGAAAATGAGAAATTAGGAGAAAGAAAGAGGCAAATTAATATTTTCTATTTGTTTATAACTTTGACTATTAAACCTTTTAATTATAATGTTTTTAAATGTATTCTACATTAATATATTTGAACAAGACAACTAACGAGCACACAAGCCAAGTTAGGACTGGTTTACGCTTGATAAGTTGCCTGCCTCATCATGTTCGGCCATTTATTAAACCAAGCTCAAGCCAAATCATAAGTTGACTCAGATCAACGGAAAATACGTTTGTACATTTCATTGCATCTTATTACAGATTACAAATAAGAGAGTTCATCACAATAGTCTGTTCAATTAGTTTTCTCTACAAAAATCTCTTCCTGTGCTCAAAGCAAAAGGCTACAGGAAAAAGAGAAGTCGTTTCCTACTAACAAAGAAACTGCCAGTACAAGATAAGAAATGACATTCCAAGTACCTTTCTTTCTATGGTATGGAATTCCCAGAGCATAATTACTCCATCTGCACTTCCAGAAAGGAGATAGTGCTTTACAGCATGTTGAACTGACAAAAAAGCAAGAAAATAACTTAGTACCACCCAATATATTTCCAGTTCAGGAGAAAATTATATTTTTTTCAACTGATTAACAACTGATTAAAAATTCAATGTAGCAACTTGTAAACATCACTTTCTCATCACTGGAATAAATCCCCAACCAAGTCATTGCAAAAGTAGAGTATGATCCTCAGAACGTCATCATCTTTATCATCAGATTAATATCAAATAATTTGGATTAGATTTATAAACCCTCCATTAAATTTTTTTTTTTTACTACAAACATCACCGACACTAGTTAATGCAAAAAAATTTAACCTATATTACTGTTCCCTTTGATATTCCCCTTTTCCTTTATATTCCTTTGAAATTATTTCCATCTCCGATCCTTCTGCTCTCCAATATTCATAATAAGTAGAATCATCATCATTATCCTTATCCCATCTTTTTGGGATTACTATTATGAATCCTCATTTTCCAATTGTTTTCGTTGAGTGTTGTCTTAGGTGTTAATATCTTATTCAAAAATCACTTTAAACAATTTTCCTCTATGTAATCTTAGGTCTACATCTTTTTCTTCATAAATATTTAACACTAATTTTATCAGCTCATCAATTGGAGCGCAATTTCAACACTTTAGTGCATATGCCTAAACCACTAAAGTTTATTTTCTTCAACCTTTCCTTTAACATGATCGTTCATTAATTTATTCTTTCTAGTTTAATCATATATTATCTTAACATTCTCATTAATGTCACATTCAACTTAGATAATAAGAATTTTTTTACAGCCCAACAATTAAATCTATACAAAATCACATAAAATAATAATATTAATCAAAATTAATGAAATCATCAAAAGCAACAGATTAAGGAAAATAATAGCAAGGAAACCAAACTTTCAGCTCAATCACACAAAGATCAAGCAGTCTCCCCAGCGATATATGTCATGCTATTCACTTCTACTCAACAGTCAACACTACATCTCCTCTCTTCGGATTATAATTGATCAGTCACCAATGGTTTTTCAAGTAACCCCCAAACTTACATAAAGCAAAAAAGCAAAAAAAAAAGTATTCATTAACTTAATTCGACTATTTAAAGTTTAAAACCACAACAAATTTCTCATAAGAACAACGAACAAGGATTTCAAATTTGTTTGAAAAGAAAAGATATCCAGGAGGAGAATTATGCCCTCATAAATGATCAAAAAATATCGGAAGAAAATAAATACCAGTAGTAAATATAAATTTCTTTTTAAGATCAAACTCAAATTCAACATCTAATCCTTAATGTTTTCTTTTACACAAATGTAAGAATTTTTATGGCAATGCTCATAGAATGCTATTCTCATAAATATCTTTTGCATCATTTTTCTTATGATTAAATAAAATCAATGAGTGCAATTTCTCTTCTATGAAGATTTTAGTTGACCAGAACTTAGGTTTTCTCGGTTGCAAGATGCTTTCCCTACTCTGAGAGTGTTAGAGATCAAACTGAGATAGTCAATTCCTTGTTCCCTATTAAATTTGTATCTTCACAACCCTTCGTCCCTGACAGTCGATGATGTGAAACCATGATGATGAAACAAGAATTGCTTATAAGAAAATTAGTAAAATGTGAACTTTACTTGGCTAAATATAAACGGATGCTTATTCAAGTTAGATCTTAGAAAATTCCATGAGAATGACTAAGTAACGACAAGCGATTACAATTAAGATTACTAGGATACTTGCAAAATTAACAACTACAAATAAATGAGTAAAGCAAATGGCAAGTTAACAAAATCTACAGTTTAATAATTAGATCGTTCACCTTGGGATCCCTCACTCACACTCTTGATAGTGATTGGCTTAGCGGAAGAATGTTGCAAGCAAACTTAGGGATGGAACTAGAAGACACGTGATGCAGAGGGGGCTAGTCGCCGGGGAAGGAGTCGGAGTTGGAGGAACGGGTGGGCGTCCGGTGATCTTCCACTCTCCTGTAGGTCGTTGTTCGTCGACGATGTCCTCTATATGGAAGAGAATATGGTCGACGTATTCCTCGACGGTGTGATCGAATCCAAATCCAAGGTCAAAGAAAGGGGATTGGATGACGTCGATCTCCCCTTGAGAATTGAACACAAAACCGTGATCAATTTCCGGATCCGCCATGCATGCTTGCCGGGAGAGATGAGGGAGCACAAGTGGGGAGAAGAGGGAGAGGAGGTGGCGGGTGGAGGGGATGATGTTGGGCCGGCTTGAGAAAGAGGAGGGGAGCGGCTAGGGTTTGGTAGAGGCGGGAAGGGGTGGGATTTAGGAATCTGAAATTAAATTCAGATTTCCAAAGGTGGGGGGAAGAGATTAATTTGAATTTCAATTTTTATCCAACAAGGCAAGGGGAGCCGGCGGTTTTTGTGAGCATTAAGGGGGGAATTAAATGCTAATTGGAGAGAGGAAGAGAGGTTTAAGGGGGGTCGGCCATATAGAGAGGGGAGAGGAGATCTTGTTTTAATTAGGTGGGCCATATCTGAAATATATTTCAGATTTTATTCAATAGGCAAGTTTCCTAATTTAAGTCCAAGCATTAGGAAAGTATTTGAATTTCAAATTTTGATTGAAATCCAAATTGGAAACTTTCCTAAATTTCTTGAGCTAATTTTAGGAAGGTAGTGAAGTCCCCTTTTTCAATTTGAAATTCAAAATAGAACCAATGGGGAGCTTGCGGGTTTGGGCTTGGGGTAAGGGGTCTGCGGCTAGGGGAGCTATGGGAGGCCGGCGGGATGGTTTTGGGAGGGGTTCAAGTATGGGGAAAACTAAGGGGAAGATTGGCGGTAGGGAGGAGAAAGAGGAATAGTTAGTAGGTAAATAAAAAGACTAACCGAGAGCTCGGAATCCAACGGTGGCTGTCGGGTATTACATATCCCTCTCCTAGGGTTCTCTCCACTCAAGAGCTCACAACTTGAGATAAAGCAAAAGCCGAAATTTTACTCAATAATCATCATCCATTACAATGCAAGAGGCCTCCTATAAATAGGCCCAAATGAAAGAAACACAAAAGACTAAAGTGCCCTTAGGCTACAACATAGGCTCAACTCCTCAGGGGTAAAATGGGAAAACTCAAATGCAACATAAAACATAAAACAGAAAATACATCAAAAATATAGACTATGAATTGTAGCCGTCGATCCACGACTACGTCGATGATACACATGTCGAAATCCCTTACTGATGTCCTCATCAATCGGCCTCTCCGCTTTACTTCAAAATCCAAAACCCTATTATTCGATATCTTACAAAAATTTATCTCAATATGGCACTCATCTCTAATAATTACATCATCCTATTGAATTTTCATTAATTAAATAAGGAATCTATTTCTGAAACTATCAATTTCTAAGCCCCATACTTCCCTAAAACAATCCCCTCGCTTTGCTACCTTGAATCTCCCCACTCCCACTCCATTCCCCCTAAACACACAAAATAAATAAATCTCTATGCCCTCCTCAATTTTCTTGTTAAAATACCCCATTCAAATTTTATATTTCAAAGTTTGAAATTCAAACTCAAACTTCAAAAATAAATTTTGAATAACTACCTTTCCTAAATTTTCTCTATGTTGTCATCTTTTTTTTAATGCAAACTCATTTTCAAACCAAATTCAAAAAGTTATCACATTCAAATTCCTAATCTTCATCTATTAATCGCACAACTAATCCAAACGTTAGGAGGGTGGAATATAAGTGGCTCAAGTAGATCCCTATATATTATTAGATGGGAACCAATCGATCAAACAACATAAGACAATGGGTAAGTTTCACTCATAATATAATAAAAACTCAATTCTTATTTCACCATTGATGCCAAACTATTCACCACTTGTACATGTATCTTAACACTTTACCCTCACATGAGAGTCATCCGCAACAACCATCACTCCCCGTCAAATATAACCTTTTTAACGTCATTAAATGTCATGCACTAAAAGCTCACTCAGTCATGTGGAGTCAATGAGGCACCCATCTTGAATCTTGCACAATTACAGCAAAAACCATCAAGACCCATGGAAGCCATAAACAACAATACAGACTTAATCCTAGTTGAACTATCAATTTTGAGATTGCTTGCTTGGAAGGTGAATATTGAGGGCCAAAGAAAAATCCAACATGCTATCAGATGAACAAAACAACCCAAAGACTTAAGCTAATAGATAAGGGTCACTTCTAATAAATTACAAACTCAACTCTTGTTTTACTTTTGATGTTAAGACTATTATCTATTTTCATGTGGATCTTAATGCCTACCTTATATAAGACTTTATCCAATCACCCAATTCTCTCATAAATCTCTTTAAAATAAAATTCTAAGGCTAGACAAGTTGCTTCAGGTGCCCCTCCAATTAAAATTCAGCATGTGACTTATCTATCAATGTTTCCAAGTTCAACTTGAAATCGCATGCCACCTAATGCTAGTTCCTTTCCCCCTTTACTAGTATTTTTACCTCTTGTTGTAAATAAAAAATAACATTAATTAATTTTCAAGTATTGAATATTTTTTTTAGGATAATGCAGATCCAACCAGTTCATTTTCCCAACATCTTCCATGGGAGAACTAGTATTTTGCATCCTTAAGAAAGCATTAACAGAAGTATATATAACAACATTACAGAAGGTGAATTTCAAATTCAAGATTTTTGGATCCCCACAGGATTGCAATTGCCTTAAATGAAGTTAAAGGTTTGAAAGAGGCAGCAATTCACCTCTAAAAAGGCAATTACGTAGTTCAAACCACATCTAAGGCTAGTTCTTATATGTTGTGCTGCAAGAAATGAAGTCTTTACTACCTCAAAGAGATAGAAGCGATGAAGCTTTGAAGGAGGGCACACAAAAGATAGGATTTTCTATTATACATTTCCCACATAAAATAGATTGACGCATGATGGAATTTTGAAAAAGTAAAACAGAACCGACGTATTACCAAAGGAAGCAATCATAAAAAAGTAAAGTTGATAAGCTTATTAAAGTTTGCGGGAGAAGACACGATTAGTCATTCATTTACAAACTTCCCAAAACGATGCCAAAAACATCTGCAAGGACCTAAAATAAACTTCTGCGAAGCCTTTACCCAAGGAAGAGCACACCCTATAATTCAATGAACTTACTTACGATGCCCAGCAAATCAAAAATTAAGCATTCCCCATTAATGCCTGAACTATAATACTAAACTCATGCATTGCGTGTAATCAAGACGCAACCCAGGTTTCCAACTCAAAAATCATATCTTTTACAGGAAACCATTTCAGGCATTTACCCCAGCAATCATAAAATGAAATTCCTAGAATCAACCAAAATAATTCATTTTCAAAGAAGAAAAACGAAAAGAAGCACCTTTGTATGCATCTTTGCTAGATGGAAGCCACTGTGTGCAATTGACGACAGCTTTGTGGCCAGGAAGCGTTGTCAAAATTTGAGCACTCTACAGAAGAAAAAAGAGAAAAAAAAAAAAAAGTTCAATACCTATGGCGTTGTTATCAGAAGAAGGGGAATATTAAAAAAAATCAAACCTTGGGGCAGAAGACACCAACGGCGTTCTGAGCACCGAAGGCGACCAGGCCGGACGGGCCCCAAGATACGTTGTTCAGGACTCGGTTACAACCGGCTCCAATGAACAACCTCTCCACCTCCACATTGACGCCGTCGAAGCAAGAACGCTCCATCGCAGCCGCTCAGCGGGAGCGAGGAGACGCGCGCAGGAGGGACGCTTAGAGTTAAACCCTTGCACTGGGCAAATTATTGGGTCAGCTGACCGGAGGAGGTGGAAAATAAGTTCGGACATTCAATAAAATTTGCCCCCTCATGCTAGCTTTATTTGTGCTAATTTTACAATAATAATTTATTAATATCCTGACCTATCTCTGCGTTCGGTCACCTGACCCAATAACTTGCCCTTGCACTGTGGTTACTGGAATGGATTCTAGTGGTTTTTATTGCGTCTGGTTACCGTAAACGAAAACTTATGGCGCGGTGCAACAATTAGGTCCCGACACCGGAAGTACTTCTACGTAGGAGGTCAATAACATGTGGCCAAGTGTGCTTATTCTTTTCGTGCGACCCCACGACCTGACCCAAATTGAAATATGGTATTATTATGTTCAGGTATTGCTAGTTATTGCTCGGTATTGTTAGTTATTGCTCGCACTATCAAAAAAAACAAGCCCTATCGCAGCGCTTTTTTGCACCGGTTTTAAGAACCGCTGGCAAAACCATGTTTTGCATCAGAAATTGGAATTCCATTGCACCGGTTAAAATCGCCGGCAAAGCCCATCCGATACTTTAAGATACCCGAAGCCCTAATTCCTTTCTTCGCTCTACGCTTGCACGATCGGGACCGAATCCAGCTGCAACGACGAAAATCTTCTCCTCTTGCGAATCCCGGCCGACCGTCCCTTCGATCCTCATCACCGTGAGTCTCTTCCCCTTCATCCTCTTCTTCTTTTTTTCTTCTCATTGTTATTCTTCATATTCTTCATTTGCATTCCTTAGGGTTTAGGTTAATCACAACAGTAGCTTAGCCGTTGGCTTTTAAAAATGAAATGCAAAGCCTTCTTATACATTTAGGATGCAATCTTTTTATAAAAAATAAAAATATAAATTTTCCCTAACACCACAAAACTTATTCCCTTCAATCAAAGTTAACTTTTGCACAAAGGAGATAATCTTTCACGAGTTTGTTCCGTGCGAGGAATTTTATTTTAAAATCTAATTTAAAAGTCATTTTTTAATAAAAATTTTCATTGCTTTATTTTGTTATTGATTTCATATATAACAACTTCACATATCAATTTCATTTACAGTCAAATTTTTATTGCCCTTAATCAAAATAAAATCCATTGTGAGCTATTCTATTGGTATTGCCTGTTATTTTAGTGGGATGAGAGCTAAAAAAATTTAAAATTGAGAGCTAGATCGTTATTATTTTTTAATTTATTTTATGTATGATCATGTAATTATTTTTTTGGGGTTATACTTGCCTACTGTATGAAAGTATGGAGTTTGGGTTTGTGTTTTACTAGTGTAGGAGAGCACGGAAGTTTGTGTAATCAAGAATTTAGTGATTTCTTATTGTTGAAATACTCATCATACTCAAAGCGGCCCAACTATTTTATCATACATGTGGTAAGTTTTATTACTTGTACAACAATGTATAAGAAAAGCTCCAAATACAAATCTTTTCTAGCAATAGGATAAAATGAATGGAATAGTAATTTTCTCCTTCTTATTATTGTTATTGTTATGACTTTTACTTTAGGCTTTTATATATTAACACTCTTGACTACCATTCAACGTCATGCTTTACCAAGGAAGAATTCTTTGTTGTTTGTTGCAAGTCTATTTGCGGTCACAGTTGGCTAACCAACTTAGCTCTAGGGTGAACGGCAATGTTTCACAATTTAAAAAAAAAAAATTCTGGACTTTAGTGGTGGTTATACCCGCCACTAGAGCCCAGAAAACCGCCGCAAATGTGGCAATCAGGTCGATTTCGCTTACGTTTTTCGCGCTTATAACCGCCACGATTCTATATATTTGCAATGGCTATAACAGCTGCGAAAATATGCATGCCGTCAATAGCTTCCCCGCCGGTCTTCGAACCACTGTGGAATGCCATTGCAGCGTATTGCAAACACAGCGGTTAAGTAGCAGTTCTACGACCGCTGCAAAGAAAATAGTGGTGAGTATAACCACCGGAAAAGGTGAAAAATTATGCTGCGAAAACCCTATTTTTTGGTAGTGTCGGTATTGGTCGGAAATAACGAGAAATATCAATCTGTCAAAACCAATATCTAGCAATACCGAGCAATATCGAGCAATACCTGGCAAAACCGGGGTATTACTAGATATTGCTCGGTATTGCTAGGTATTGATCTTGACATATTAGTATTTCTCGCTATTGCTGAGCTATACCTAGCAATACCCCGGTCTGCACAAATCAGCCAATATATAGCAATATCGGGTTCGGGTCATCGGGCCGCACCGTAAAGAGTAAGAGCACGTGGCGAAATGTTATTGGCGTCCGGATGTAGAGCTACATCATGTGTCTGGACCTACTAATTATTCTGGCGCGGTGAGAGATTGGGAATCGTAATGACCCGAAGTAGAGGTCAGATGGATCCAACAACCGTGCGATCGAGAATTCAGTTTTCTTTATAAATTCCTCTAGGGTCAATAGAAATATGATATTTGTTCACAAAATATCTCCATAATTTCTCAAAGCTTTACAATAGTATGATATATTCATTTATTGATTAGTAGTAGGAAATATTTGTGTTATTTTACTGTCTTAATTGTATATGTTAACTTTAAATTTATTTGTGAGCAATATCTTAAATTTATTGATAAAAAGGCTAAAAATAAGAGAATAAGAAAAGGGATAGTAAAAGAATATGGAGGGAAACTTTGTGGTCTCACCATTACTAAAAGGTATAAGATATAAGATTGATACATCACGCAAAAGGGTCATGATCGGACGCTAATCTTGAGGCATATTGAAGTTGGGAATTTTTTAAATTAAGTTTGGGATCATCTAAACTCTGATTTCTGTAAATTTATTGTCAAATTGAACGTCACGAAGAAAAGAACCTAACAACATCAAAATCGGTCAAATCCGAGCCCAAATAAGTCCAAATCAAGGGACCTAAGCACATTTGGAACGTTCATAGCATAAATTGGATGAACAAATGATATTTAGATATAACATGCTTGTAGTCCAATCGAGCTGCTCGACAAGAAGAATCCAACGAGCCCAATATCGTTTAATTCTGACATCATTTTGACACATAAATGTTTGACAAATATTTTATAATCGAGGGGATCAATATGGGTCCTCCGACGGAGCACTCAGAATTTGCCCTAAATATTATCCATATTTGCAGGGCATGTCATTCTAAAAAATCTATAAATATACTCCCTTTTCCACACGAAGGTGGGGGCTTGGACCATTTGCCAGAGATTAGATAGAACTTTGATGCTTCAAGGATCTAGAGCTCCACCCAAGCACCACTAGCAAACTTCTATTGACCATCATCAGACCACCGCCCAGTAGTCAACCGTCGTCAAACCACAAACCGATCATCAACCACCTTCAGACTAACTCTTGACCATTGCTCGACTTTAGGCCCAATCGTTGTCAAACCATCGCCCGGCCGATTATCGTTGTACCACCATTGCCCATCCACTACAATCCCTCCAACCACCGTCGCTCGCAGACTACGATCAACTCCAACCTTCGTGCCTGTCAATTACGATCCCTCAAACCAACATCACCCTCCTACCTTTGTCTCCCGCCGACTACGATCCCTTGGACCCTCATCGCCAATTGACTACGGTCCCTCCAAATATCGTCATCCTACGACTATGGTCCCTCTGACCTCCATTGTATGTCGACTCCAGTCCCTCTGACCTCTGTTGCTCGCCGACTACAATCCCTCTAACCCCCATCGACTATAGTCCCTCCTACCACTATCACCATCGCTCGCTGGCTACAATCCCACCGACCTCCGTCACTGGAGGGCCTCTGTACACCCCTCTCTCTTATCTGTTTGTGTGTTGGATCTTCGCACAAAGCTAAGACATTAAGCTCTCTATCTCTCTCCTCTACGAATGTTCAAGGATTCACAGGACATATCCAAGTTAAAAACTTTCAAAATTAAATTTGGGGACATCCAAACTTTGATTTTAGTAAACTTACAATCAAACTAAAATGTCTCAAAGAGACGAACCCAATAACACCAAAATCAATCAAATCCGAACCTAAGAGGGTCCAAATCAGGGGACCGAACACATTTGAAAGTTTCAAGAATAAATTAGATAATCAAATAATATCCAAATATAATATGCTTATAGTTAAAATCAAGCTGCTCGATGAGACAAGTCCAACGAGCCCAAGATCGCTTAATTCTAATATCATTTGGGCACATAAATGCTTGACAAATACTCTGTAATCAAGGGGATCAATATGGGTCATCCGATGAAGCACTCAGATTTTGCCCCAAATATTCTCTATATTTATGGGGCATGCCACTCTAAAAAATTACTAGAGTCTTCCAACTTCATCTATATGATGTGCTCTATATGATATATATTTGCTACATTGAATGAATACCTTCCTTTGAAGAAGAGCCTCATTTGTAACCAATAATAAACGCTAGTTGAATCATTTTTACGTCGTCAAACCCCGTGATTTTTTCCCTTTTCAGAGGTTTCCATATAAAAATCTTGGTGTCTCTTATGACTCTTGCACCCCTCTCTTATTTGTCTGTGAAGCTAGGATGCTAAACTCCATATCTTTCTACCATCATGAATATTCTAGCCCGAAACAAAGATAATGATTTAAGGTTCATTTGAGATGGTTATAGTTTTTTAAAAAAAAATTGGTTGTGAATTTGTTATGGGAAAAATGATTTACCTAATTTGAATGTAAAAATTAGTTTTATACCATAGAAAATTTCTGAAAAACTGTAAAAAAATAGTAAGAAAATAGTAATTAAACAAAATTGTAGTTGCCATATGAGAAGTAAAGCTGAGACAAAGCCTTCATAAACAGACCCTTAGTGTATCCTACTATTCTCATTTGACAATTTATTTATTAATTAGTGGGAATTGAGGTATAGCCCTATGGAAGATATAATATTTAGGAAAAATGAATAAAATGAAGATTAAGATAGCTATCAACAAGCTTGATTAAAATATTGAAGTCCTTAATCCATATTAAGATATTTCAAATTTTCAATAGAGGTAGTGGCTA